ATATTAATTTTATTTTGATTATATTTTTCACTTTATATTTGATTATAGTTATTTATTTAATAAAGATTTAGAAACATATTTTAGTATATATTTATTTTTATTTTATATTTAGGTTCTTAAGTTCACAATCAAAAACACCCAATTGTGACAATATAAAAGCCTTGTCACATTCTCAGTGTCGCAGTCACAGTGTCACAATATATTTTAAAAAGCGTGAATTTTGAAAAGCGTCTATGGCCTAATCGGCAAGAGCGTTGCTTACAATTATTATGGCTTTGGGTTTGAATAGCAGCAAAGATCTTTTTTTTATCCAACATGCTATTTTTTTTTCTTAATCCTGGTGTAATTTTCTAGCCCGGGTATATTAAAATAATTAAAATATGAATGGCATAACCCCATACCTGTATCAAAATATATTTTCTTATAATTAGGATCATCGAAGAATGGATCCATATCATGAGAAGATGCAAACTTATTCAAAACTTTGTGGATAACAATTTACCAAGAAGTGTTTTGTGGCTTTCATTGTAAATAAAAAAACCCTTAAGAATCCAATCCACAATCTAATAAATATTTACATTTTATGAATACTCGCTGATGTCCCACAAGAATGACAAGAATTATTATTCTCCTTAATTTATGATGGATAAATTGATATAAGCCTATATGCGGTGTGTATCAGAAATTTACCATATTTTGATGAGTTAATTCCAAAATTTTTATTATTCTTATAATATGTTAATGAATATATATATATATATATATATATTTATTGCATTCAATATGAACAAATATTTGAAATATGTTTAAATATACTTTTTTTTAATTATAATAATTTCCTTATTTTTTTAATTATGTACTCAATAAAAAATTTAATCCTACTAGATGAGGGTTTTGAATATTGCTATCATGGAAACAGATTTTGAAGTTGGACTTATTAAGTATGAGCCTTTTAAAATTAGTTTTTCAGGAAATTGAAAACCAATTATTTTATGAAGAGCATTACAAATTTTTCCATCATAAAGATACCAAAAATATTTTTTTAAATATTACTTAATAGTTTATAAATAAAATCACATTTGCTTACAGAATGAGCAATGATAATAATTGAGAATGAGATAATGAAAAAAAATATAATTGCAAATCTTTTTAAAATTGCAACATTTATGATTAAAAATTACCCATTTATCTTCTGCTATCATTATCTTTATTATTAAATGTGTATTGATCTGATGGGGGATTTCTTAAAAATTTAAATGGGGATTTCATTTTAAAATTAATACAACTTAGCTAATATAGTATGGCCATAAATTATTGCAGATTTAAGATCAGGAATCTCAATAGAAAAACGGAATTTATTATATTTGAAATTTCTTTTTTGGGCATAATACATGATATTATTATATAAAGTTTTCAAAAACATGATTTAAAAAGCAAAGGTGGGACAATGCAGAGCTCAGCCATTTTAAAAACTTTAGTTAATTAAAATTCTTTCTATATTTTTGACATAATCATCTTAAATATTTTAAATAGTATATTTCTGCAAAATAAATATTTATTTTTTTCAATAGTTCAAGAGTTTAAGGGTTTTTTTTTGGCTTGAGGTAATCTAGATCCCACCTGGTCATCCATGTAACTTTTTTTTACTGTTTTTTCATCTGTTTTAACATTGAATATACATTTTTTTATACATAATTTTTATTAATAAAAAATATTTGAACTTTCGATAAACACGATGAATCAGTGATTTAGTCAATATTTCATTTTTTGATATTATTTATGTATTTAATAACTTGTGCCAGTTTAAATAATATTTTAGACTCACTTGAAAAGTTGTATGATAAAATAACAAAATAATTAAAGTTGCAATTAAAAAAAAATTAACTTATAATTTATTTAATATATTCTTAAAATATGATAAATTTGATTTTAATATAAAGTATTTATTGGGGTTTGAGGGTACCCATCAGTGGCGTAGCTAGGAATTTTCCTTAGAGGGGGTCCATACATATAAAAGCGGCAGAGTTTATCTTATAAATCATAATCATATCTTCGATAATATATAATAAATATATTTTTTAAATGCATCAATAATATGTTATTATAATTTAGTAGATTATTCTCAATGACTTTATAATAATACTATCCAGAATAATTTCAATAGTAATATAATATCCTTCCACAAACATCAAAACCAGAAAAATATAATTCATATAAAATCACTTTTAGGTCTTTTGAACGTATAATCTAAAATAAATTTTTGCTCTGGGAGGGTTCCAAACCTGAAAACCACCCCCGTAGCTACCCCACTGGTATCCATATAGTCTCTCGGGGGTTTTTTCTTCACTTGTGTGATGGGTTAACAAAAATATTTAAAAAAAATTTAGAATGTAAGAGTATGTTAGTTTTTATGGTATATTTCGGAATCGAAAATCTTGCTGGATTGTGATGAGTTTAGTTTGGTATATTTTGATTTTTTTAAAAAATTGTGGCAGGCTATGGTCTATGTGACCCTAAACTCCAAAAAGCCTAGGAAAAAATATTGAAAGAATTTTAAGTAATAAAGTTTTTAAAATGACTTAGGTCTACTACATAACCCCATCTTCGCAATGAAGGGAACTTCGTTCTGACAACAAACCAGGTTAACAATATATATTTTTATTAATTCTGAAATAATCAATAATTGTCAAAATTTCTATATTATATCCTTGTTTAAATTTTATAAAATTGTAAAAATATTATATTTGACAATTGTCAGTTTTCTATGTTATATCTAAAATATTTTAAAAAAATCTAAAATAAGGATTATTACAATTGTAACTTCACTTTGGTACATATTTAGTGATTTATGTTAATAATATAAATTTCTACCTATTTGCGTTAAAAAAAAATCAAGAAAAGTTAGAAAATAATGATTATGATAATTGCTACTTTTTATCTTCATTGAAATTTTAATTTTGCATGTTATTATGATAAATTTTAACCCATTTGCATCAAAAAAATTAAAAAAGTTGAAAAATAAGGATTATGACAATTGTCACTTTTCTATAGTATATCTTTATTGAAAATTTAATTTAACATGTTTACAATAAATATACACTTTTGCGTCAAAAAAAGTAGTTAAATAATAACGATTATGACAATTGTCACTTTTCTATAATCTTCATTAAATTTTATTTTACCATGATTACCCCTTTACTTCAAAAAATATATTATAACATTTTATAATATGAAAGATCGTTGATCAAAAATATTTTTAGAAAGAAAATCATCAAAGATTTAGATTTTTCAAGATCGTTGCTTAAAATAAGATCTTCAAATTTAACTTAGAAGATTTTTATATTTCGAGCAGATGTATAATTCTGATTGTAAAATCATTTGTAATTATCTTTCATAACATTTAAGAATAATTCGAAGAAAAATAATGTTTCCAAATAAATATATGGATCATCTCATTTTAACGTTTTACTATTTATTTATTTTTACCTTTGATTTTTTTTATTCAGGCTTTTTTTTATTTTTAGTAGCGCCTGTATCATTTATTTTATTTTACATTTATTAATTTTATTTTTATATTTTTTATATATATTTATTTTTTCAAATATATTTACGTTTTATGTATTATTTTTTTTTATGTGTTTACGTTTTTCTTTATCTTTTTTTATTTTCATTTTCATTTGTATTTTTTTAATTATTATTTTTTCCATCTATTTTCATTTATAAATATATTTTTTATTTTGAATTTATCAATCATGTCTTTCTGGAATTAAATTTAATATTATTTGATGGATAATCTTGGATTTCATTATTGTTCGTTTCAAGAGATTTATTTTAGATTTGTGCCGATTTTATTTATTTTATTTTTTTTTCATTTGTATAAACATTTTCATTCTAACGGATTATATTTATATCATAATTTATCTATTCACCATTTTTGCTTTAGTGTTTTCCTATATTTCCCATTTTAACTTTGACTTTTCCTTGTTGCTACTTCAGCATATAGAGTTATAAAAATATTGAACTGGATTTATCATAATTTATAATTAAATTAATGTTTAAAAAAAATAATAATTATTGAAATAGAATATTATACTCTATTAAACACATTACATTCGATTACTCTATTCAATTTAGGTGACGCTATATAAAAAAATGACATAACAAGTTTAAATTTTAGGTTGCAATATAAAAGAAATGACAAGAAAAATAAAAGTTAAAGGTTACCCCGAAACATATATAAAAAAATTTAATTAATAAGTGAATAAATAGAACTCAATTATCCGTGTGGAAAATGGCTTACACTTATGAAATTGATCATTTAAATGACTTACTATTAATTAGAGAGGATTGTGATAAATAACTTAGCAAGAGGAGGCAACAAAAATAATTTTAATGTCATAATTTTTGACGATAAATTTCAACATGATTATGATATATTCTTCTCTTTAAGAAGATTTATCCTTCAGTATTTTAGAGCGAAGAAAATCGTTAAACAGGATCAATCTGATTAACAAGGTGTGAATCAAATGTTTATGAAAGGCTCATATTTGTCGGAACTAATTTTTCGTCAAAGAAGATATTATCGGGGCATTTAAGACATTTTTATTGGTTGAAGGTTGAAATATTTGATAGATTATACATTTTATATGATATTATTTTTATTAGTGAATGCATATATATTATAATTAACCTATAAAGGTATTTATAAATCTATAGATATAAACAAACCAGGGCAAAGATCGGGCAAAAGAAAGTACGTCAAATGCCCAAAAAGTATAGTAATGAGAGCAAAACTTCCATAAATTATAATAAAAGTGTCACCCCCTTTTGTCAAATAAAATCGTTGCCCCTGTAAAAAACATTTAAAATCTAGCTTTGTAAATACTTTTTAAACTTATTTAATTGGATATATATTACTTAATATTTTTAAAATGTAATTTAAACGTGTAATATGATATATACGGAAATTGTAGAACATTTTACCATTTTCGATATTTTGTCAACAATCTTGTAAACATATGTTTTGATAAATCGTAAAATCATGAAAATATGGTTTAGTCCGGTTATTATTATTAAGATAATTTTGGTTGCAGATGCCGTTATAAATGTTGATTTTTATAAGTAATTTTTGCGGATCATATAAAAGTTTTATATTTTTACCGAATTTAAAAGGGGTAAAGTAAAGCAAATGTTTATACATGCTTATGATAGTTACATGAAGTATGCTTATCCATTGGATGAACTCAAGCCCATCTCATGTTCTGGTATGAATACATGGGGAAAGTAATTATATATTTTTTTATATTTCTAATTATTTCTGTACATTTTAATCTATATATTTTACATATATGAATATTTACAATAAATTTAAACTTTTATTATATTTTGCTTTTACATAGTTTTTCTCTCACCCTGATTGATTCATTAGATACCCTATTAGTTATGGGGAATGAAACAGAATTTATGAAAGCTGTCAACTTAATACTCAATAATGTTAATTTCAACATGAATATCAATGTGTCTGTTTTTGAAACTAATATAAGAGGTGAAAAAATTTATAATAATTAAATTAATCTACATCAATTATTAGACATTTGGTAATAATAATCTTTACCATTTTTTTTAAAACACATTAAACTGCTAAAATCTGATTTATATGAATCAAAAGTTTACACCTTATTTCATTATAATCGCAAATTTTATTTTTTACAATAAAGAAAAAGAAAGAAAATTTTAACGAGGAGATTTTTATACATACCAATTCTTATTAATGGGCCACCTCATTCTTTTTGGGGGGTATACATAAAACAACCAAAAATATTAAATTTTAAGGCACTACTTGATATTTTACCATATTTTATTGTTTATGCTATTAATAAAATAGTTGTAGGTGGACTTTTAGGAGCTCATTTTTTGAGTGGACATACAGAATGGGGTAGAATAAATGGTTTCCCATGCAAAGGGCCCTTGTTAGATCTCGCAAAAGATCTTGCAGATAAATTAATGCCTGGTATGAAATATAATTAATATTTTTAAGCAGAGATACCAATATTAATGCTATCTGATATTGATATTGACTTACACTCTCAATTACTTACTAATTAACCTTTATATAAAAAAAAAACTAAAATTTGGCCTTAAAATTAAAAGGATAGACTTTGATATACTATTTATTGAATGCTAATATTTTACTTTTAAATAATAATCATAGAATAGATATTAATAAAGAAAGTGTTACTTTTATTGCTGAATTAACTTAGCTACAAAGAATAAACTACAAGAAAATAAAAATAAATGACATCTGCATAAGCTTTATTAAATCTAAAGGCATTAATGGTTTAAATTAAAAATCTAGAAAATATTTTTGTAGAAATTAAAACTGGGAAAAATCTTATAATATGTTTTTCAATTTTTAAATAAACTTTCTTTTTTGTGAGTATTATTCATATTAAAAATAAAACTTAGTATTGATGGTATATGCCAATGCATATTAGTATTAATAAAAAAAGTGACATCAATACATTTGTGTCTACAAAAGATTCATTAATTAGTTTGCATTAAAAAACAACAACATTATTTAGGTCTCAAATCACAGATTGGGTACTTTCTTTACCTTTATTTTTATTTTTCATTTGTTCATCTTACCCAATTGCTATATTTATACCCATGCAATGAGAATAAATCAGTTATATCCTTAATTGCAACCTATTTTTTAGTTCAAAAATTTAGTAAGAACCAATTTATAAATAAATAATAACTAAATAATAAAGCTTTTAATACGGCTACTGGGCTCCCTTATGGAACCGTAAATTTACTATATGGAATTCCGCCTGGTGAAACGCCCGTCACTTGTACAGCTGCCGCAGAAACCTTTGCTTTAGAATTTTTTGCGCTTTCTGCAATCACGGGAGATTCGACATATCGTGAAGTAGCCATGAAGTCGTCTAAAGCTATGTGGAATAATCACAGATCTGCATTGGGATTGGTAATAAATTAAAAAATTAATAATGCAAGAGACAGGAAATATAAGAAGAAAATAAATGAACAAATAAAAAATGACTTTAATATTTATACAGGTAGGTAATCACATAAATACCCACACCGGGGCATGGGTCGGTAAAGAAATCGGGATAGGCTCGGGGGTGGATTCGTATTTTGAATATTTGCTCAAGGGGGCTCTTTTATCGCGAGATCCTACACTGATGAAACAATTTTTAGGTTTTTTTAAAACATTTTTATTTAACATGTCTTCTACTCTTGTGAACTGTAGTTTTTTTTATAAGGAACATCGACAGAATTACGAAATTTAAAAATATATTTATATTTATTAGTGATCTGTATCGGGCCTAATTTTTCAAGCCCGGCTCAAAATTTTTTTTAGAAAAGTTTTGCCGGCCAGGCCCGAACCCGAAATTTTTTTAAAAAAAATTTACCGACGTAGCCCGGCCCGAATTTATTTAAATATATAAATTAATCTTTATAATTACTCAAAATAAAAGACATATGTTATATGTCGTTTAGTTTCAATAAATAAAATCAAATATTTTTATTTTACATAAAAAATTCAATATAAAATTGATAAATTTAGATTTATTTAAAAAATTTTCCAAGGTTCGACCCGACCCGGCCCGATTTAAAAAAAATAATAGATTATTTTAAATCGGGCCGGGGTTCGGGCCGGGCCTTACTTTGCCGATCTCTAATATTTATATTTACGCTCATTATGTTAATTAGTAATCTCTTTATATTTATCTGTAAAATATAATGTATACGTTTGAACTTTATATGAACCCGAAAATGTTAACCGGTTCAAAAAGAGTTTTTACGAAACCGTTTTTAAACTCGTGAACTTGACCCAAACCCATTTATGAAAAATTTTTTAATTCGATTTCATAAACTTATTTAAAAATTATGACAATTATAATTTGTTTTAAAATAAGTTTGAATAAAATATACCCTTAAAAATAATTTTTTTTAATTAAAATTTTTAAAAATTAAATGATAATAAAAAAGTTTTAAAATTAATTGCCATTTAAAAATTTAATTAATATTTCAAAATGTTAGCTGACATCTTAAAATTTGATTGTCGTTTTTTTAACTTGAACCGAAACTAATTTTGCCGATCATACTTTAACCGAATTGGCTCACAATTTTTATCTTATCTTAATAACCGAACCTGGCCAAAATATTTCAAGGGTTGGAAGCCCTGGTTAAAACAGCCTCTATATCATTTATTTATTTTTGGAAGGAGGGGGTGGGATATAATTATTAAAATATGAATGAATGATATTCATTGATTATTTATTTATTTTTGTTAACCACTTTGAATAAAGAGTACGAAAAAGTAATAAATCGTTACCTCAATTATAATGGCTGGTACTTTTGGGCCAACATGGAAAACGGGAATTTGATTTGGCCCATTTTTCAATCTCTGGAAGCATTTTGGCCTGGCTTATTGGTAAATATTAACATAATTATATATTTATTTATTTAGGCTCTCTTTTTTTCTTCTTACTATTTTCATTTATTTATTCTTTTAAAAAAAATTGGGCAAAGCAAGTGGTCACACCAATGTTAGAATAAACTATCTAACACTATTAATTTATTTATTCTTTTAAAAAAAATTGGGCAAAGCAAGTGGTCACACCAATGTTGGAGTAAACTATCTAACACTATTAATTTATTAGCACATGATTCTCAATCATACATATATATTTTTAAGAAATATTTAATTTTATGAACTAAAAAAGTTATAAATAAATGAACTCTGTGTTATTTTGTATCTTATTCTGAATTATCCGCTTTTTTTATAATTAATTGACTAATAAATATAGATATAATCAAATTACTGTTATCTTGATATCAAACTTTTACTTTATTTGAACGTTTATATTGAATTCATTCATCCAATAAATATTTTTTTAAAAATATTATTTAACATGATATAAAAAAATAAATAAGAAACTGGATATTACCTGAGGGATGATTTATAAAATATATCAGAAATATATTAAATTAACATTTATTTCCCTTCATTTTGATTAATAAAGGCAGGGATATCCTAGTTTCCGCAAATATTTTCTTTGACCATTTTTGCCATTATCCTCGAGGAAAAGGATATATATAAATAAAAATTAATTTAATAATGTTTTTTTATGTAAGGAAAGACATGATTTTTTATATGCAAACGATTTACTCTGAGGATATAATAAACAGAAATAACGGGAATTTTCGCGACAATATACTTTTAGATAAAAATTATATTAGTCGATAAAGTTAAAATTATCTTCTTAATATCTAGTCTCTTTGATGTTTTTATAATGTACTAATATTATATATTAATCTTTTTGTATATTGTTTGTGGCTATAAGTTGATATAATGGAAAATTTATCTATTAAAATAATAATATATACTAAATTTATTCATAGGAAAAATGATACCAAAAACCACTTTTTGAATCATCACTCTTTTATTTGTTTTATTAAATAAATCGTTCACGCTTAATTATTATATCAAGCATTTTAGTTGTACTGAGCTAATCCCTTAACTAAATTACAACATTAATAAATATATTTAAGCGCCCAGAAACTTGACAGAAGAATATCATCTAATAATTAAATACTATCCTTACATAAAAAAAAATTAAGACAAAATAATGATTAAAAATATATAGTTAAATTTAAAAAAATTTTAATTTTTAAGTAATACAGCAGGAACAGATAGTACCGAATACATTCACCCTCAGGATATATATTATGTATTTCATTTTATTTAGACATGAAAATATAACTAAGTTGTGCTGATATCATCCTTCACTTAGTTTTAATTTTAAATATATAAAAAAATATATTTTCACTTCCGATTAAAAAAACAATTTTAAAAAGTTGTAGAATTGATAACCAAAAAGGTTTAAAAATGACAATCGATTAATTTAATAAACATTGATTAGATTTTAAATGCTATAATATTAATTTAGGTTTCCTTGGGGAGGATAGCGGAAGCAGAAACGACATTCAAAAATTACCACAAAGTTTGGATAAAGTATGGAAGTTTGCCTGAAACCTTCAATGTAGTTAATGGGAAATTCGATGATGGACACTCCAATTACCCCCTCAGACCTGGTTATCTATTTTTTAAAACTTTTTATTCAATATATTTTTTACTATGTTATTTCATTTATTATATATTCCTCCAAAATAATAAAGAATTTATAGAAAGTGCCTACCATTTATACAAAGCTACGGGTGATAGTTATTATTTGAAAGTAGGAATAGATGTCATTCAATCTCTAGAAATTCTTTGCAAAACTGAATGCGGATACGCTGTGGTATAAAACTTTTTTTTTTTATATAAAGTAAAGAAGGGTAAAAATCAAAAAGCAAAAGATATGAAAATAAATTTTAAAAAATTAAAGAGAAGAAAAAAAAATAATATAAATTAAACATTGCAGGATATAAATAAGGAAATGAAAGGAAAGAGGAAAGCAAAAAAGAAAGAAAAAGAGGGAAAAAATGAAATAATAAAAAAATATTTAATGAATTAATATATATTTTTTTAATGTAGTTGAAAGATGTCGGCACCCATGCGAAGGATGATAGAATGGAATCGTTCTTCTTAGCCGAAACCCTTAAGTATCTTTATTTGCTCTTCGATACCCAACCCAATAAAGTTTCAAAAAGTGCCCATGATACCCTTTACGACCAAAACGAATATCAACGTTCAGTTTTTTTATTCTCTTTTCATTTTTTTCTTTATCATTATTTTTTAAAATTAAAATTATTCCTTCCTTAAAATTTTTAAAAAACTCTTCAATTATTTTTTCTACTTTAACAATGTATTTGTTGCTGCGAACCTTTATTTTCAAGTTTATTTTATTTTTTTCTTGATTATCCTTTATTGTACAAATCATTATTGATAGTAGGGATGTGAACCCGGACCGTGAATTCTTTTTTTTTTGCTGAACCCAAACCCGAACCCTTTTAAAAATGGAAAGTTCAAAGGTTTTGTTTCATGGATTCATCCTTTTTGGTTTTTATACTTCTATTTTTATAGGTAAAATATTGTTTTAATTTATATCAATTTTTGAAAGTGAATTTTATAATATTTTAGATAATTTATTAATATGTTACATAACAGGAATACGTTTCTTATCTTTCTTTATATCAATTTTAGGAAGTGATATATTGGAAATTTTGTAGCAGCTGCCCCCCACCCCCAATTGCAAATTTGCCTGTTCTCGTAAATATAATTTTAAGCTAGTAAAAATTTTACTCTTACTCATCTCCCCCTCTCCTAAAAAAATCAGTATAAGGAAGAATTTTAAATAAAAATTAGTAAAGATATTAACTTTTTAAAATAATAACTATAATTCAAAATTTAAAAAAAAGTTCCCAAAATAATTTTTATAAAAATTTAATATAGTCAAAGGTTCACAATAGTGGACCTAAATATCTCCAATAAGATTTATGGGTGAAAAATTCACCTAATAGAGTTTCCACGTACCTGGATTCGCCTAATTTTTATAGTGTAATTAATATTACTTTCTTATAAATGATATTTAGGATATGCCATTAAATAAATTATAATTTAAACTTTTTTACTTGTAAATTATGTATCTTTATTTATATGATGTATAAAAAAAGAATGTTACTTTGAGTTAATTTTTTTTTCTCCAAACCCGGACCCTAGACTCGAACCATTTTTTTTGTCAAAGGGTTCTTATTCTTGATAGAAAGACAATTTGTATTGTTCTATTATTGTTTTTCTTTACTTTCATATAAAAAAACATGGAAATATCTAGTTTACAATTACCTTGTTCTATCTAACTCGTCATATTTCCTTATTTTTCTGTTTTATCTCTAGAAAATATAATTTTCAATCAGTTTATTTTGCTTCAAAATTAATTGCTAGTTGTTTTAATTTTACAATATATTTTAATATTCATAATGTTTTAGTTCTCAAACTATATTTTAATATTCTTAAATGTTTTAGTTTTTACACTATATTTTAATATTCCTGCACAATAAATATTTCTTTCACAGCAATTAATATTTTATTCTTACACAACAATGTTTTATTTATCTAATGTTTCTACCCTTTGTATTTTTCTTAATAATTTCCTTTTTACGATTTTTTCGAAACTTTATTTTTTCTTTTATTTTTCAAATTAAAGATAATGAATAAAATTAACTATATATTTTTTTAAAAAAATAATAATTCAATTAAAAAAAATTTAATAATAAAGATCGATAAACATCAATAATAAAGATTATATTAATTCGATAAATAAAACATCTATAAGATCGATAAATAAACATTTATAATGATAAAGATAAAAATGTCTATAAGAAATACTCCATAGCTTATGATAATAGTGACAAACCTTAGTCCTCTATAAATATATTTTTCACGTTCTACAAGTATAAGTTTTTAAAAAATATTTTTATCTTTCGTTATTTTCTTGCTAGTTCCTTTATTCAACGAAAACTCATAAACTCCATTATGAACTAAGCACCTCATTAATCTCAAAAATAAGATCTAAATTTATTATTATTTTTTTGAACATAATTAATACAAATAAAAAAATCTCCCGAAAAGAGTACGACTTATTTTAAAAAAACCATTATATCCACCCGACTATATATGCATATATATATTGTTCCTTAAACAGCAGATATAATTAATATTCTAAATATATATAAAATTTCTAAATTTTAAATTAGGGATAACGATAATCAGATTACACACTGAATTTGCAATTACCATAGTGATTACATGAGAACTTCTATATAAATTTTATTGTCAGGGAAACCAGTTTAACTGAATTTAAAGTGTAATATTTTTTACATCCCCTTAGATATATCCTTAGCTCACAGAGTAATCATATGTTTTTACCCCAAACACAATTTTATTTGATTATTTCAATAAATGGGTTATATTCGTTTTTATTTTTTATTAAATTTATTTATTCTTCTCCTTATTATTAACTTGTACCTTTTTCATTTATTTATTTTTCCATATGTAGCCTCCATCCTTAACAATGACATTTTGTCTCAAAAGCTTCTCTACACAATGAATTCAACTGATCACGATAAAACAGCTTATTCCCAAGATGAATGCATGGTTACATCCGGCGGCTATCTACTTAACACTGAAGCTCACCCTATTCAGATATCGGCAGTTCAATGTTGCGGAATTTGGAATAATGGGCAGCCATTCCAAGGTGAAATGATGCTAGATAAAAATGAAAGCGATGAAGTTTTATACATATTTTTCATGAAATATTTGCATATGTAAATTTTAAACTAATTTAATACCTTATAGATCAGTTCGCTCTATTATTTTTTAAACTTTCTCTTATCTTTTACCCCCCCCCCTTCCTTACCTTCTTTCCTTTCATGATGCAATCTTAATAAAATAGGCATCTAGAGGTCATTATCTGGATACGTATTTCACAATTAAAAAAGAGTTTATATAATTTTTATACTTTTAGAATGAAACCTGGTATAGTTCATTGAATACCTCTACCGTGAAATTTCCTGCCGAAACGAAGAAAGCGATGGATGATATTAGTTTGCAAGACTTGTTAGATATAATGAATGGAGATTACAGTGCTCTAGAGAGTACGGAATACGATTTTCAAGGTGAGCTAATGGAATTTTAAAATCAATATATAAGTTTAGGAGAGAAAAAGAGGGAAGGGATTGATTGTAAGAATGAAACTAAAAAGGTTTGATAATGCGAAAAATGACAATGATTGCATTCAAATTTCTACCTACAATGTATCTTCTACTTAGAATTGAAATGGTCTAATTTCAGAGTCTGTGGTGAACATTACATTTTAAATTAACGAATTTCTAACACCAGCTGTATAAATATTTAAGAATTGTTTTTTTCAACTTAAGATCATTTTTTTGATTATCAACTTTAAATCAATTTTTGAGTGCGTGTTTTGAAACTTAAAAATTTGATTTTACTTGAAATATATTCCATCATGTTTGGAACACCAACTCTATGAATTTCACGCAATTTCGCCATAAACTTTTGAACCTAATGTAATTTATATTGTTTTTCCATAGATTGTCTACAGTAAATCAGATAGGTATTCTAAACATGCTAGAATACATTTCCGGTAAAATCAGATTTAAAATTAAAAAAAAAGGCCTATTTATTTAAAGAAAAAATAGCACATTTTCGGGAATAACACATTGCTGCTAAAAAGATTTTTCTTATTTTGATTATCCCTGTGAGTGGCGCCTTTCTAAATTTATGATATCGAAGAAAAAAATGCTAACATCGATAGTTCACGCAGAAAATAAAATTTGAAAAATTAATTTTTTTTAATTTCCTTTATTTAAATTTCATTTTTTAATTATTATAATTTGGTATAAATAACATTGATAAATGATGAATTCAATTTAAAAAAATATATATTTTATATTTATTTGACCAAAATAAAACATTATTTTGGAATAGCCGGGATTCGAAACTAAGCCTTCTTTCTTTCTCTTTCTTAGGCTGAAGATCATCTTAAAAAAAATTCAAAATATAATTTATTACAATATATTAGCCTGACTATTCGCATTTCGACCGTTACGTGTGAATTTTTATATGGATTATTAAGGAAAGCATTAATGCTGTAAAGTAACGTCGTTACTTTTTTAAGAAAAAGAACACCATTCGATACCTTTTTCTAGAAGTAACGAGTAACGTGTTTATTTTTTTCGAGTAACGGTAACGCAAATTGCTACTCGCTACTTTAAATTTTTTCTAAAAAAATATGGAAAACACGTATTTTTTTGTATTATAAAATTATTTATATTTAATTTTGTAAATAATTTAAGCCGAGTTTTACAGGGATCCAAACCGAAACGAATATCGGTTCGGTTCAGGTTCGGATAAAAATAATGGTTTAAGGTTCGGTTCGCAAAAAATAAAAATATCGGTTCGAACCTCTAAAAACCGGTTTGTATTCAAACCTACATTAGGATTATGTATCAGGAAAATTTTTTTTTTATTTCATAATTAAAATAAAAACCATCATTTTTATTAATTGCACATTATAAAATAATATTTAATTTATAAATATAACAAATAAATATATCAATGATTAATTTAAATATGAACAATTACTTAAATTTATTTTATTAAGCTGCACAATTAATATATTTTCAAAATTCGTCTCACTCAAATTACATCTATAAGGAGATAATATAAATTTAATTGTTGATAAACATCCTTCCACACTAACTTGGGTAGCTGGCATTGCCAGTATGATATCAGATTTGATGTGTCATTTATAATACTATATGTAAATAATTTATATATTAGATTTAATTTTTTTCATTATTATTTATAAGCTTAAAATATTTAAAAAATATTGCAAAATGGCAAAACACTAAAGTTTATAAAAATTATGACTGACGTTTATCAATCAAATGTGATTGATAATAATTTTAAAACAATTTGAATATAATTAAAATATTTGCAATATACTATTAGTAATAACTTACACATTATTTTATAAGCATAAAATTTTAAGACTCGAACCGGTTCAGAGGCATTTTAGCGGTTCGGTTCAGGTTCGGCTAGAAATTTTTTAGAGGTTTAGGTTCGATAAAAAATACAGGTTTTTAGCGGTTTAACGGTTCAGGTTCGGTTTGGATCTCTGGTTTTAAGTCATAACCACAAAATTCCTTCATTTATATTTTAAATTTTTGTTAACTTTCAGTCAAGATTGTTAATCTAATTTATATTAAATCGATTAAAATATATTAATTAATATTCTTATTCTCTATATCAATTGTACATATTTCTTCAGATGAAGATGATTTATGAAAAAGTTTTATACCAATAATAAAATTAAGGGTACAAAGTCTACACTTTGTAAATGTGTTTAAACTCAAATATTTAATAAATTATCGGATAAACCTTAGCAGTCTCGAAACTGTTTAGCCATTTTTAAGGAAAAATGTTAAGACATTTGATCAAACCTATTATAACAAGATGGAATTCTTTTTTATAACTCCGTGAAATTAATAGTCTTATTAAAGAGAAGGACCAATTTGACGAATCTTTTGAACAATCCAATTTATGGAAATTTTTACATAATGACATCGTTCATAGATATATTGTATGGTTAGTGTAATTAAAAAATATGTTATGTATATATGAATTTATATTTTATTGAACCTGTTGCTACGGCTCTTTCGATTTTAGAACATTTGGAATATCTCACTCCCACGATAACTATTATAATCAGGGACATTTTTGCTTACCCGTTTCGGTTCTGGTCAAAAAATTGTTCCATTCCGGTTCATAAAGATAAAAAAAATTTGACGAGGATCTGAATGAAGATGATTTATTAAGCTTTTTCAAAATAAGAATTGTTCTTTAATTTTTATTATTTCCACCAATTAAAATTTATATTTATTAAATATAATACAACCTTACCAATTCCCATTCTCTGCGCTAGTTGAATATGTGTTTAGCACGGCAAAAGATGTGTTGAGCACGCTTTTGTTTATCTGATCAAAATTTTGAAAATCGAATGTTAATAATAAATAAAAAATTATCATAAAATCATATATTATAATATATTATTTTTATATAATTTTATTTGTATTATGTATATAAGGAAAAAATTATAAAAAGATCTCATCTTATAATATATTATTTTTGTATATAGGATATTTTTTTATATAATATTTAATTTTTCAATTAACGAGTAACGCGTTACTTTTTGAATAAGCAGTAACGAACGCGCATTATTTTTTGTCATAACGAGTAATGCGTTTCTTTTTCGAAGTAACGTATACAGCACTAATTAAAATGAATCATTATAAAAAGGAAAATAAAATCTAGAATAAATATCAGAGACCTGCAGAGGTACCTTTTGCCCGGCCGGATTTTATAGTTTCAGGCCTGGCTCAAATTAAAAAAAATTTTTTTTAAATATATTACATTTTTTAAAAATTTTTATATCTAAAAGCGATTTAAAATATTCTGTTATAAACTATACGACCCGGGTATTTTTTTAAAAAAATTTTATTATTCCCGGCCCTGGTATTTAAAAAAATTAAAATACGGCTCATCTGAGCTTAGGGCTGAGTCTGCAAGTGTCAGATAAATATGGAAGAAAAAAAGATTAAAATATACGATAATGAATAAATGTTAAAAAAAAATGAAACAATAAAATAAATCAATAATAAAAGACGAATATATAAAATAAATGGGTGGGTGAATTGGCGGTTTAAAATATTATTCTGGCGAAACGAGCAACCTCAATTTATTAAAAATCATATATTGCATATTTTATAGGTAGTTAAGATAAATTAAGAGCCAAACTAACCAATAAAATAATTTTTAAACATTTGGTGGGCGGGTTAAGCAAAATTTTTAGAACAACTTATAAAATATTCTTAAACATTGGGTGATGGGCGGGCATGTTAATTAAAAAAAACATTGGCCGGTGGGCGAGTTGGTTAAATTTTTTAAAACAATTAGGAAGAAAAGCATTTTCCTAATTCGACCCCAAAAAAACTTAAAATGTTTAATATTTTTAACTCGCCCCGAAAATTAAAATATAAAAAAAAATTATTCATTTTTTAATATGGTATAAGAAATTATTTTAAAATGAACAAAATTGTAAAAGGATATAAATTACCAGACCCAACCCGATCTACCAATAAAAAAATTCCCGAAATGACTCAACCCGAAAGGCATTAATCACACCACCCAATTCTGGTGGGGGTTTCAGGTTCGGTCTGGTTGGTTTTGAAAAATTCGTTTAAACGTCCGTTCCATTTTTAAGTTTAAACTTGCCTCATGATACTTTACCTTAGACAAGCCTTTATACTTCCAAAGGACGCATCCCAAAAACGACACTTGGGACAGAACGTTTATAAGAGCGGAATAGGCTCTCCGACGTTTTATCTTTAAAATTGAAATGCTCTTTTTAAAACATTTATACTATTCTTTACAACACATCAAAAGACATACTACTTTTACAAAATCGAGATCAAAACAACAGAGGTTACGTTTTCATACACGACGACTTAATTGAAAAACCTTGGGTCGATCTTTCGAATATTTCTGCAAATCATTCAGAGACTCGAAATCTTAAAAACGCTGAAAGCTCTAATAGCTTGCAGTTGAGATCTCCCACAGATATAGTCAGCATATTTAAGGACTTAGTTTTAGGAAATTCTATCGAAACCAATTTGCTGAAATTGGTTCTCAAACAAGAATACACTACCGAAACTTCAAAAGTTCCGGAAGCCAACACGGCTATTTCTAAGAACTCTAACAAGGTGGGAATAGATGCTAAGTTGGTGGTTAACGATCGGAGTTATGATTTGTGCGAAAGATTGTCGTTGAACGATTTGTACATAAATAAAAGCCATTGCCTCAGCAAACGTTGGGCGTTGGAAAATGTGGGTGGATTTGAATTGGCATATGACAAAAATGATCCAACATCCGAAACCAAAAGAAGGGAAGAATATCTTAGGAATTGTTTGTTTAAATGTTCCAGTTTTTGCTGCCCTTACAATATACCTCTTAGTACTGAACCTCAAAATATGGTGGTTGAAAATAGTAGTTCGATCCTAAAAATTTCTAGGGTACGAAAATTTGTGCGAGGAGTCGAAAGAAAAATGACCGACGATTTTAACGATCCTAAGCATTTGTTGTGTTTGGCTTCCTGATATATTTTAAAACTTTGTTTCTATTACTGAAATGATGTGTAGGAAAAAAATTGTTTTATTTTTTTATATATTTTTGAATATTTTCTCCTGTGATTAAAACACATAATTATTAGTTCAGTTTTATTATTTATAGAATATGCCTCGTTTTTTTAATTTTATCAATCGATCGTATGTTTTTTTTAAGATGATGCTTATATTAATTAAATACATTTTATTATATTCATAGGCATAGTCAGGGTTTTTAAGGGGAATAATTATAACGTATCAAAAATTGTTTTGAAACAAGATATTGATTTTATATAAATTTTAACGGAGTTCATGCATTTTATATATGCTATGCTATGCAAAGTAAATACACTATATTATAAATTTGTAAATAAGTGATCATATATTATAGTATATTTCAATCTAATTCATATTTTAAATACTATATTATATTTATAATTTATGTGTACATTAAAATATTTATTCGAAGTATATGATTCTTATCGTAATAATTATATTGTTAAAATTGCAGCCTAAGCGATATTTTATTTATTCAAATCAAACTATATTTTTTAAAATGCATTTTTAAGGAAAAATTTTCTTTAAATTTTAATTTAAAAGTGTATAAATATTAGAAAATTAGGTATTTACAGATTGAAAGGTAAAAATATGTTTTTAAAATTAATCATCATTAATGTGATTTCTTGATACCCATTTCAATTAGATTCTCACCATAATGCCAATGACAATATATCGGGTTTTCCTCTATTGTAGAATTTTGACCTGTACTAAGTATAATATTTTGGCACCAAATTTTTTTAAAAAACAGATAAACCTTTTCCACATATTCAAATTAATTTAGTGTTTTCAAATAATAATAACAATACCATATGTTATTTCCTGTTTATTTATTTTTAAACCTAATTATAATTAGTGGCCTAGCTAGGAGGGGGAGGGGGGTATATAATCATGATTGTAATTAAATAGTAGTATTTTTGTAAAATTAAATATATAAGAATGTTGATGTGTTTCCTTTTTTTTAATTATTAATTTAAAATTTTTCGATAAAAAATATTATAACTTATTATAATTTAGAAGATTATTATCAATGACACTAATGAAAAATAATATTGAATAATTGATATAAATTCTATAGTAAATAACTATCTTACTTCTAAATCTTAACTTTTATTTTAACTTTTCTCGTTAATCAAGAATAATGTAAGATATACCAAATTTTTTTAATAATTTTATTCAACTAAAGATTTTAATCCAATAATGAATAATCTTTTTCTCAACGGAAAAAAATATATATTTTCCAAAAATAATAATCATTATTTTTTATTATAATATTATTTTATTCCTGACCAATCAACAATATGCAACATTTTTGTTTGATGGCCTTATAATTATCTATAAAAATTATTCAAGGCTCCGACATACTAACCTTTAGGAAAGAAGCATTCACCAAAAAAAAATTATATATATCTATTAAATATTTAAACCATAGTCGTATGTTATACACAATATATTTTAAATAATTAACTGAGAGGGTTTTCCCAATCATATCTATGGTATTTACGGTGCTTAATATCGACATGAGACTAATCACTTCAGTATCATCCTTCGTCTCAATGACATATTTGTCGCACTACCATAAATAAAGTAGGATGGAAAGGAATAATGATTATAGTTATGTTGTTTCCAAACTCTCGTTAAAATGTTATGCGAAATTGGAGTATTCGTTGGCATGGGCACCGAGTTATTGATTTAGTTATTTATTCATTGTTTGAGAGGACGGTCACATTTCACCATCATATGTTCATCGGACTGACAATTGTAACACATTTTTTTTACTATTGACTATTTCTGGAATGGTTAAATTTCCATGCTGATATTCTTTGGAATCACGGTTAAATAAATGTTATTTAACATCTGTATTTCACCAAAATTCTATAAAAATACAAAATTGTAATTTTCGAATATAAAGGGAACACCACTACATAAAAAAAATTCTTTTTTTTAAAAAACATGTATATTAAATGATGTCATATACACATCGTAAATCTACAAGATCTCATCAAATTATATTAATTTAAATACCAAATCACATTTTTAAACTCTTTCATTGAATAATTTTTATTATACTTTCAATATATAATGTGTAATTACCATTTTGAATAAAAATTTAATCAAATAAGGCTATTTCAATAAATAATAAAGAATTATACATATTCAATAACTGGAAATAATAATTTAAACCCATGGAAATAATAATATAAATCCACTAATCGCAAAGTTTTACCCTCATTGTCAAATTTATAAGTCAACCTCATAACCCCAATAGTCACATAAGTTTATACCCTGATTTGGGCATGAATTTTATATAAATCTAACGGTCACAAACCAATTTGTATAACGAATGCATACATCTATTTATATATATATTGACTTTTATATTTAACACGATTTACATTTATTATTAATCTCGTCTCTTAATATGGTCATTTTGACGAATCCCACTGTTCCATCATCAAGCTATGCAATTCAATTTCGTACCCACATTTTCTTTTATATTACCCTTTTCCCATTTTTTCTTTTTATTGTCGAATAAACGGGCCCATATAATTTCTCCCACAGGAAATTTTATATTTACTCTTTCATATGGTGATATAATAGCACTGCCTTTTGGTTTTAAGAAATCAAAGGACACTGGTCTTTCGACCCAAACACACAACAGGCGTAAACATCCTCCCGATTCTTGGAATTATTGTAATATAAATGGGCCATCTAAACATCATTTCTTATTTTTAAATTGTTAAAACATACCAAAATCAGCTCTTCCCTAATTTTCCACTATAACATTTTCATTTGTTCACTGGCACATTCAAAATGAATTCCTTTTTATATTAATTTATATAAAGGTACTGTAATCCTTGCAAAATCATTCAAAAATCTATGATAATGATTGACCATACCCAAAAACGATTGAACTTCCGCTTTATTGGTTGGCGGCTTCATATTTGCTATATTTTTCAAATTTTTATTCAGAGGTCTCACCTTCATCCAATGACATATTATATGTCATTGCCTTCATCCCATTAATTTGATATCTCACCTTTATCACGAATTATTTTAAAAACTTCTTCTAAAGTATTCATAAATATACCCTTGAAAAACAACTTGATGGCATCTATGAATGACTGCACCACCTATCACTATGGCTTTATTTGGCCTTTTCGAATTTGTGCTGACCCAACGATCTTTCGCTCTAATAAAATATAATCCTTGGGTCAGTACATATTCGAAAAGGACCGACCAAAATAGGTTTATCAATAACTTTTGAGCATAAAATCTGCCACAATCGATCTATAATGGGAGGAGATGCCAGCGTTGCCCCCCCCCCTGCCCCATTCTTTCTCTTCTCACTTCCCACCCACCCCTATATATGTTCACTTCGTTCATTTGATTTGTTTCACTTTATTTTGTTGAAAGTCTTAAATCCTAGAAATACATCACGAAAAAATGACAATGACATATCTATAAAACTTCCATAAAAAACGAAGCCGCTAAGAAAATATGCCCACGAGGTTGCACCGCCCTAGACTCCATTGAATAGGGCTAAGAGAAAGTGTTTAAATTGACAGAACTTTAGATGTTTTTGAAGAAACAAAGACACACTATTTATAATTCTATGTTTTACAAAATATTTAAATAAATATAATCATCATAAATCATGTCCTCATTCTTACTTAACACGTCACATTGCACATGACCTTTAATAGACACATATGGGACATCAATAATATTTTTTTAGCAAGTAATTAGTATATTCTATATTTAAAAAAATGATTAAGGTTAAATGAGGCATAAATTCTAAGCCTAATAAATATGTCCAAAGGTTTATATTGGACACCTAGTTATGGAGATTTATCGCGTAAATTGAAAGAAATCGATCCGTTTATGCTAGATAGGGGTGAATCAGCTGCTGCAGAAAATCGTTTTGTATTTGAATGTTCCTGGGAAGTAAGTTTTATTAATCTTCTGATATTTTTTATAAACTTTACATATAAGGCCGCGAACAAGGTTGGAGGCATTTATACTGTTATCAGATCGAAAGCTGCTATAACATCTGATGAATTAGGTGAACAATATTGTCTATTTGGGCCTTATAATGAACAACAAGTTAATCAAGAAGTAGAAAGAATGGAGCCTTCTCATCCAGTTTTTAGAGACACTTTAAAATCAATGAGGGATCAAGGTGTTAAGGTTGTTTTTGGAAGATGGTTGATTGAGGGATATCCCAATATCATTCTATTTGACATAGGTAAATAGTTTATATTATTAAAATATATTTATAATTTTTTTTATAATACATTTCTATTTATTAAAAATTTAAACAATATACTTTGAACTTATTTCTTGAATTATATATATATATATTATATATAGAATTTTCAGTTTAAGAAAAACATATAAATTGCTAAAAAAAATAATTTTAAATGTTAGAACTCAGATATTTTAAAAAGGTTTTAAGTATTAAGAATACATAACATCTAAAACCTATAATATGTTGCCGTGGGTTGAATAAATAAATGATACATTACATTAGACAACATATACCAATTTATGATGGAATATAGAATATTGATTCATGTGGAGCTTTAATTTATATTACATATATAACCTTTTAATCTTATACTCCTAAATAGGACTTGCAAGCAGGTCCCAGCACAGCCCAAAAATCTCAGAACTAAAAAAAATTGGGCTAAATGTAGGCTAAAACAAATTGAGCCAGGCTAAATTTGGGCTTGAAAAATTGGGTTAGGATTTAAAAAGGATTAAATGATGCTTTCTTTCCTTATAATTAAAATGTTTAATTTTTATTTTATTTTTAAAAAATGTTTTTTTATAGGGTAAATTAAAAATTTCTGGCCAGATCAGACCTAAACATTCAAGCAAATTTTGTGCTAAGTTAAGAAAATTGAATTTGCATAGCTTTGACCCTAATCTTATCTGAGCTATAACATAATTTTCAAAAGAGTTTTAATCATGGAAAAATTAGTAGGCCCAATTTTTTTATACTATGCACAAGCCCAATTTTGAGCTGGAATTTAGGCCAACTTGCATGGTTCTAGATTATCCCTGCTAATATTTGCAAATAATTCTAAAATTAACAAATAAGTTGGATATTTACTAAAATTTACAATTTGTCAAATTTTTAAAAATTATTATTCACATTTGATTTTAATTTTTTGAATCAAATAATTTGTTATTTATAAATTTCAATTATATAATAAATTGAATATCTAATAATTTTTGATAGGCCTACTATGAACTTTTACATTAATTTCTAATTACAATGATTTTGAATAAAGTTTAGATCTTATTATATTTACTAACCCAAAATATAAAATGAAATAATCATTTTTCTTTTCATAAAAAATTTAAAAAATATGAATGAAGAATGATTGTAATTATTTTTATTAATCCTTTTATTTTTCATAAAAAAAATTAATTATATTTAATAAAGTAATTATAAATTTTAGTTTAATTGGAGTTACTTATTCCTAATTAATTATATACTTGAAAATTATAATAAAAAAAGTAATGATTAAATTAACATAAACTAATTCCAAAAAATAAATTGTAAACTCAAATTTGTTATATACTAAGCAATTTTATCTTATTTCAAATATTTTAATTGGACATTAACTTCTATTAAAGCCCTTCACTTCAGCCCAAGCTTGACAAAATGTTTAATAATTTATAAGCCAGTGTCCATCCCAAATTTATTTTAATTTATAAGTAAAAATAGTGATGTTCCGATATTTTTATCAGATCGGATCGGGCCGATATTTCACCCATTTTAAAATATCGGCTATCGACCAATATTATAAAATTTTCCAATCCGATATAAAATATAGTCTTTAACAAAAATAAAATTTTATAAAATTTTTAAAAAAGTTATATCTAAAATCATTTAATTTTATAAATAAAATCGAAATCCATTTTTTTGTATATTTTTTAAATTAATTAATAAACATTCTGCCATATTGTTATTTTTTTGCGCATTCTATTTATAAAAATATGCGATAATCTCTTTAGAATCTGTTTTTAGTGAAGCTGGTGATATTGTCAGTTACCATCGCCGCAAGCTGACCTCTGATAAATTGGAAATTTTGGTATTTCTAAAAAGAAATCTTCGAAATATTAATGTAATACTATTTTAAATATTTATTTTAAATTTATTATATAAAAGTGATTTAACAATAAAAATATTTTATATACTTTTAGATTTGAAATTGAATTGAATATAAACTATAACTGATCATTATAATATATTAAAATGACATAAGATATGGTATATTATAAATGTTATACTAATAAAAAGTATATTAAAATTAAAACCAATGATATCTTTTCAGGATACAAAATTAGATATGATATCGGATCGGTAATCGGCCGATACCAATTTAAAATCGGGATGATCGGATCGGCCTCCAAAATGTGGTATCGGTACACCCCTAAAAAATATAAATAATAAATTACAATCATTTTTATGAAAAAAAATGGAAAAAAAAAACTTTGAATCGCTTAATGTCCTTATCACGGACAGCTTCTAATTATCATTTAATTTAATGATAAAACAAAAGAAAAATATTATTTTTTATGCCTAAGTTGAGCCAAGACCCGAATATTTTGAAATGTTTAGGTTCGAGCCCGGTTTGGGTTGAGAGCTCTAAATCGAAAGTTTGATCAATAAATGCATATGATTGCCTTTTTAATTCAAATTAAATTTTAAGTCTAAAATTAGTAAATTAGGATGAGAGGTTATTGAATACCACTTTTTTTAGACACCATAGATAATATCTCGCTGTTGCTCATTAAATTTTTTTTTTAGTGTTTTTAAAAAAATTTCAAAAACAGATTTAAAAATCTACCTAGCCTGATATTTCAATTAACAAAATAAAATTATATTGTTTTATTGGTTTGCTTAATTCTTTTTAACACATTTGAATAAAATGAGACGAAAGTCTATGGGGTTCCCTCGGACCCCAATTTAGATACTATTTTAGAATTAAATTTATTTGTGGCTTCTATATTTTAAAAATGAAATGACTAACTGTTATTTTAAGATTTTATTGTTATTTTAAAATTGACAGATTTTGAACAAGAGAGAGTTAATAAAAAAGACAAATATTTTAAAATGCAATATGATATAAAATAATATATAAATAAAATTGATAATGTAGAATATTTGTCTAGGTTCAAAGACTAATATAATATATTTTAGTTAAAATAAAAATTATATATAAAAAAAGTGATTATTTATATTTAAATATATCAATGTTAAAACAGGTTTTAAAAAACTCCAAAAAATAATTATAGCTCATGAATTACCGAAAAAAAATTAAAATTAATTTTGCACATATATACTTTACCTAAAAATATTAAGCTACTTAAAGATACAGATAAAATTTATCGAAAGAATTTAAGTGATAACATTTTAAAAATGACTCGAGTCTGCATAGTATGAAGGATTAAAAGACGCCAATTTTAATTGGTATTAATTTATTTGTTATCCTCCTAATAGAAGGAAATGAAAATTAACAAAATTTCGGTATTAGCCTTTGGTATTAGCATAATTTTTATAGATATCGGACGATATAAATCTGATATCGAATATTTGATAATCTGTTCATCTTGATTAAAATTTTATATACGATCCTGACCTAGCCCAATACTGATGAAAAGGGATTATGGTCCAACTCAGAAAAATTCCCAGTACAATAGCTGATTTATTTAAATTTCTATTCGTTAATTTTTTAATCACATAATCTATCAGGTTTGACAAGCTGTTAATAAAAATGATTTAATTTTTATTAAAACCCAATCTAAACCCTAATCCATATTTCTCAAACCCTTAACCCATATCTTTATAATCTTTAATCCTACTGCTGACTTAAGATATTTGTTATTTTAAATATATTTCAGTCAATTAGAAAATTTCCTTCAGTTAAACATTCATCGAGTTTAGGAATTATCGCGAAACCGTTTAGTTATGACCTAGTAGAATCGGGCATTCGAATCATGCTAAACGAATAATTAATTTATATAATCGAATCATAATATCGAGCTTCGTTGTATATACTTGCGCATTTATTATACCCCCCCCCCCCACCATGAAATTAAATTCACCAATTTAACAATTGACACGCGTTAAAAATATTTATTATTTAATTATACATATATTAAAGATCGAAGCATTTTATTATCACATAAATTAATTTCATATATTTTTTAAAATAATAATGTAAAAAAATATAAATTCTTTAATGAATTATATAAAGATTTTTAAGTTAATTTTTTTTTATATTTTTGATCGATTTTATCCATTCTCTGATTAAATATGCATTATTATGTAAAAGAAAATATAGGATGTCTTGTCTGATCGCAGATAAGAGTGTTCTACCAAATTAATGAAGGTCTTATTAATATTATCATTATCTTGATCCAATGATCTACAATTAATTTTTTTTTATGCATTATATATATTTGCCATTTAATCTTTAATAAAATCAAAGATTATATAGTGGCAAAATTATATAGGCGACCGAGGGCTTTTCTGCAACGCAATTTTTTTAAAAATTATTATTAAAAAATTAATTCAACAAATTACTCTGCTACTTTGTTTGGAAGTAGCCTTATATATTTTTCCCATATGCTTCCCAGGCCAAAATTTAAAAAAAAGAATGAAATCTTTGATTTTATTTATGGTTGGCATGATAAGATTCAAATTAATTTAAATCGGGCTTTTAATCAATATATTTCTTTGTTTTTTGCAAAATAAGTTTTAATTAATTGCTAAATTTTTATTATTATAAACGATTTTATGTAGGTTAATCCTGAAGTTTTTTTTTGCTAAAATAAACTCTTGATTCCTGCGGGGCCCAATAAAACATAGGTACACGGCCCTTGACCCGAAAAATAATTGTGTTATATTTGCTTCATTCTTTTGTTTAAAATAACCAAAAATATAAGATTAGATCGATTAAAATATCCATCCGCCTAAATTGCACAATAACCTTTCTTCACTTCTGCTCTGCAGAATCCCCTGAAGAAAAACTTACATTGCAGATAGTGCAAAGGGCGAATCCTTAGGCACACCCTATGCAATTCCTTGATCCACCGAGCATTGAAATCCGCCCAAATACCGCTATACTTGAACCACCAGGACTTTTTAGATCCTATGGAAAGCGGCCTGACGGAATATCCCTTATATCCCATGGAAACGGGACCAATTTCTGGTTTGGGATTATTCTTATATAGATTCATTAGCTTTATCTAACCAAACTCCAAACCTACATGAGCAAAAAGAACAACATAAAATTCCAAATATTCGGAAATATCAGGAGATCGCATCTTTATCCCAATATCCACTACTTTAACCTCCTTTGGTAAGCTTGCATTATCCTTTTTCAAGGATTTGGATCTCACATCCCCTAGCATACTAGCTATCTGCGAGAAGACTTATTCCTCAGACAGCTTCCTTAAAGAGAATTATCAAAGTTTCAATGTCAGTCTTCTCTCCACAGATCTTTGCTAGACTCACTTTTTCTTCCTTATTCTTATCATTTTATACTATATTTCACCTTTATAATATTTAATTTGGAATTTGACTGATATTAATATGAATAATAATAATATATAAATATTTAATTAATTTAACGTTAGATTTTAATTTTTTATTTTTTAATTATATTTAGAATGTATTAAATGATGATAAATAGACAAATATTAAATATTGATATGATAAAATATTTTCTAGTCAATTCAATATTGCAAATTTAGCAATATTTTATTTATAAATTTTTACAGGAAAATAACAGATATAATGTAATATGTCACAGTAATAACTTCTCAAGAGTTAATTTCTTCCTAGGCATATTTTAAAAAATATAATTAACTATTTGAATCCACAAAATATAAAGAAAATCATGTTTTTTACCAACACTAATTTTATTCGATGGAAAAGTAATGCGGGTCACTTGTCACCTTAGTAGAAAGAAGAGAAAGTGAAAAAATTAAGAAATGAATATAATGAAAAATTTATGAATATTAGCAATTACAAATAAAGAGAAAAAAACAATAATTGTAAAGAAATCCTTAGTTTAATTAAAAGATCATCGAGCCTTAGGGCTAAAGTTATCCAGGAAGTAAGTAGGCATTATTAGCAATATCTAATATTCCTGCAACAAAATGACTTTAATTAAAGAAATTAAAATTCCGATTGTTGGAAATGAAGTCAACGACATTTGCAAGCCATGCTCAACAATTAGAATTCTTGTTCATTCTTTAAAAGGTAGAAGATATAAAGAAAGCGTGCTCGTTTTAAAAAATAAATATACAAATATAACTACTAATTATATTTGCCTTCTATTGTTTTCAAAAGGTAATGCTTACCACATGCTTCCCCAGTGGAAGGAAGAGTATTGGAGGGTGGCGCGCATTGGACTGCCCGTCTCAGGGGATCAGGACGCTAACGACGCCCTCATTTTTGGATCACTGATCACATGGTTCGTGGGAGAGTTTATCCACAGGTTCAAGCTTTCTCTAGAGGCTCAACGAGCTAATAATAATGCGATTACGGTTGGTTAATCTTTATTTGATTATTCGACTATTTTATTCCTATTTTAAAGTTTTCATTTTTTTTGCCTTTATTCTTTCATTTTCTCCTCTTATTCTATATTTTATTTTTATTCTACATTTATTACAGGACACAATGCCTAAAGTGGTTTGCCATTTCCACGAATGGATGGCCGGAGTAGGTGCCGTCTTACTCAGGACCAGGAATATTCCTTGTGCCATAGTTTTCACCACTCACGCCACACTACTTGGAAGGTATATGTGTGCTGGTAACGTAGATTTTTACAACAATCTCGCCAATTTTAACCTCGACAAAGAAGCGGGTGATAGGGGAATTTATCATAGGTCAGTTACTTTATTTAATTAGAGATGCACAATCCAGATTTTTCTGCCAATTCCAATGCCTTGATAAGTGTAATATTGTAAAAGAATTACTTTCACCATAGGCTTTATTCTCCTCATTAAAAACGATGACAAGCGTAATATCCATGATAAAAGTAATAGCTAGAATTATGGAATTCATTATTTTGTAAATCATAACATAAATCATGCGCACGTGGATTATATTATTATAAAAATGTAATATAAAAATCATAAATTACATTCATCAGTTCAAATAGCTTGAGGAGTAATTTTAGAAATTATAAAAATGTAATAAAGCTGCCAAATTGATCTTCCACGTTGCATTGGTAAAAAATAAAAACATTTCAAATTGAGTTTTTTTATCATGAAATACCTTTTCGCTAAACTTTTATCGCGAAATACCTCTTCGCGAAACTTTTATCGCGAATAGATTTTACAGCGTAATTTATCGCGAAACTACATTAGCGAATACAATATCGCGAGACAAACATTGCTAATTTTTTTATCGAAATCCCTATAGAGCTAATATATTGCAGCTAAACTTTTATTACGAATTAATTTGTATAGCGAAGTCGTTATCGCAAACCCCAAATCGCAATATAGCGAATATTATATCGCGAAGACTATTTCGCAAAACATATATCGTGATAATTGCTAATAGTGACTTTTATTTTAAATCATTTATTTTTAAGATCATATAAATTAACTAATATTTAAAAAAAATAGTTTGGAAAATCGATTCACTGATAAAGTTTTTAAATTTTCTTTTAACCTTAATAAATTTATATAATGATCATTGGAATATAATTTTTTATGCTGCCCTGTCCTAAGTTTTCCTGAATATTCTTATCTTCCTTAAAAAAGAAGTGTAGGAAATGGATCGCAACATCGTTGGAGAAAAAAAATCAGATAAAAAAATAGGAATTAATAAAAAAGAAGAATGAATAAACATTAAAAATAATTAAATCTTAAAAAAAATAAAAGGAGAAAACGATATTTTATTTGATATTATATAAATATAATCACCTTCCCCTCTTTATATAAGATATTGCATGGAGCGATCCGCGGTGCACTGTTCTCATGTCTTCACTACGGTGAGCCAGATCACGGCGGATGAGGCTGAGCATCTGTTGAAGCGCCGCCCCGACATTGTGACCCCTAACGGCCTTAACGTCGTCAAATTCAGTGCTTCCCACGAGTTCCAGAATGCTCACGCGGTAAGTAAGGAAAGGCTTCATGACTTTATTCGTGGCCATTTTTATGGCCATTACAACTTCGACCTTGATAAGACGCTATACTTTTTCATCGCTGGAAGGTATGTAATGTTTTCTTTCCTAGTCTCCGACACATTTTTACGGCCATTTCTACATGAGCTCAATAAGACACTTTTATTTTCATTTCCTGGAAATATTATTTCTTTTATCTTATTTAGTTTTATTACTGTTGTGTAAGGTCCGGATCGGAAGATCTTTTGGGGCCAAAGCTTGATCAATACACATAATTCAGAATTGGTTACTTTTGGCCATTCTAGGCTTTATCATGAATATTCTTTTATTCTCTCATTCATGATGGATCTTTAAATTCCTCAATTTTTAAAATTATCATGGAAGTTGTCATTAAATATTTTAAGGGGTAAAAATTTATGAGTCGTTATAGTAAACTAACAATTATTGATCCAAGCATAACAAATGTTTAGGTTAGGGCTTTCCTTACTAAGAATTTCTTTTATTCATTCATTAAAAGAATATTGATACAAATCAAAATATAGATTCACTATATAATTATTTAATATATTTTTATTAAATAATCTTTATCCATTATCTCAAAAAATGAACATAATCCATCCTCCAATATTTTATATTACTTTTATGGACAAAAAGGTACGAATTTAGTAACAAAGGAGCCGACATTTTTTTGGAAGCTCTAGCCAGACTCAATAGTTTTATGCAAAAGTCTGGCACAGATGTAAGCATTAATTTTTTGGAAAAATTTAAATTATTCCTTTTTGTAAAATTCTTTAATTTTTTTTGGAAGATTCCTTCTACAACATTTCTTTGATTTATAATTTGTTTTTTAGTCTATCTCACATTGCTAATAGACTCCAGATTGAACTTGACAAATTTATAAAATAAAGATCACTATATTTTTAAAATTAAATATCAATCGTTTTAATTTTAAAGAGAAGGAGAATAATGGATTTTCTTATGGATTTAATATTTATAAATGTTCTGCTAAACAACGGATGACAAAATATTTTTTTGCATCATATTAAATTGAAGCCTTAAAATTTATCTCCCCAACCCCTTCCCTCTTTTTTTAGACTACGGTTATAGCCTTTCTCATTTTTCCAGCTCGAACTAACAATTTTAACGTGGAATCTCTCAGGGGGCAAGCTATAGTTAAGCAACTCAAGGAAACAGTCAATGAAATACAGGACAAAGTGGGGAAAAGAATCTTCGAAACTTGTTTAGGTAAGTAAAATTGACGATAATTTTGATATACCAAAATGACCGTTAAATGGACCTGGCTCCGCTTAACGGGTATATATATTCCCTGGATTGTTTGGGTGATCGTTTATTCAGATTTCCCGTTTGATTGTGATTTCCAGGAATTTTTATCAACTATTTTTTGAAGCAAAAAGGTTACGATAAATGGAAAAAACTTAAAAATAAATTTTTCCCAATATTTTTTAGCCGGTACAGTTCCGGCAAATAATCCTTTAACTCAGGACGATTTCGTAAAATTGAAGCGTTGCATATTTGCCGCCCAGCGAAAAACGCTTCCACCAGTATGCACTCATAATATGGTAGACGACGCGACGGACCCAGTTCTCAATACTCTCAGGCGAATCTGCTTGTTTAACCAAGAACAAGACAGAGTCAAAGTTTGTCGATATATTATTAAAAAGGAATGAAGGACGGGGAAACAATGAAATATAAAAGATTAGAAAAACAAAAATTGGGAAGTAAGAAGTGTAGTAAAGGAAAAGAGGAAAGATTAAGATGAAAATAGAGTTTTAGAAAAGTATAAGAAAAAAAGGAATATGGAAAAAAAGTTATTTAATCAGAAAGCTTATTAATAATCCCATGCAGTCTTTTCAATAATTGATTGAAATTTATTTCCCATTATATGATGAATTATTTTTTTTAAAAATATATACTACAATAAATATATTTGATATCCAGATTGTCCAAATAAAATTTTTTGACAATTAAAGATTAGTATGAATTATTATCAGAGACGAGGTATCATTGGCACGGTCCAGCCCGGATTTTTTTTCAAAAAATTTTTTTCGGCCAGGCCCAGGTTTTTTCAAAAATTTTCTGGCATAGCTCAGATTTTTTAAAAATATATTATTTTTTATTTTTATAGCTAATTGTGGCGATTTCAAATATTTGGTTTTAAAATATACGGCCTGGCTCGAGCACCCGGGCTTAGGGCCCGGCCTGCAGGTCTCTGATTATTATATTTTAGCAAAAAATGTATTTTTTATAAAAATGTTTCTAAATGGGTAGAGGAATTGTATTTTGAAAACAAGGTTACCTTTGAATGTTTCAAATTAACTTTTTTGTTTTAAGTATAAAGAATGATTAAGGCTATATGTCATAATTTTTATTTTCACCTCTTGATTTTAGAAAGCATATAATTGGGATCGAAATATCCTGATATATAGAAAAGAGGAGGTATGAATATGAATCTTTATGAAAATTTGAGTATTTATCTCGAGGTTCGGCTCAGTCGATAAAATCCTTTAATATGGAAGGAAACCCCATAAGAGAAATAATCACACATTAATGACTTCCCTCGAGTAATAATGATTCCCATATGAACGTAAGTTATTGAGAAGTTATTAGTTCGAAATGAATTAGAAATCTAGCCTAACTAGTGCAACCTGTGGAATTAGAACAAGACAGATAATGTCTATCTTTACTATAAACTCGTATGGAAAATCTAACTCACTTCTATTAAAGTGTGATATCGCAAACTAAGCGAATGCATATTGCTATTTTGGGTAGGACTCTGGCTAGGTAAGGCGTCAAGCCAGTGAAGCCATTTTTTAAATTAATTTGGGCTAAACATAGCAAAGGGATATCATTAGGACGGATAATAATATTTTACAAATTAATATATTAATTAAGGGTCAGTGAAGATTTTTGTTCATTACTGAAAGCTGAAAGGGGTTACGATAAAAAGATAAACTCGTTTTTGAGCAGGGATAGAAAGAGGATCTATCAGAGGAATGAGTTGCACTATATGCTCATGCCCCACCCTAGATGATTGAAAATAATATAGGGTAAAGATAAAATTAATGAAATGACCTTGTTAACAAAATGAATATAACATTATAAACTCTCTTAAAACTTTGAAAAACAACACCATTAGAATTGTTATAAAAAAAATAACAAATTCTTTATAATTTATTTGGATTCTTGGATTTATTTATTATATATATATCGATTGATGAAAGGAAAAAATATATTTTATTCAGTCTTTGTTCATAGTTAGTTACGGTGCTTACTACGTTACCATTTTTGTGTATAATATATTACAAAAACTTTACTTAAATTCTACAAATTTCTAGTATGAAATTTAATCGGTAAAGATAAGAATTGGAAAAAAATTAAATAAAGATATGAGTAAATATTAGGCCTATTCAAAAACGAATTCGAATCGAATAGTGCATTATTCATATTCGATTCGTTTAAACGAATCGAATAATTTAATTTGAATTCGTACGAATAATAAAATCTACTATTTGTATTCGATTCGAATATTTCGAATAATTCGAATTAATTTTTTTAATAAAATAAATCATACTCAAATATATTGACAAATTTTTTTATTACAAATTTGATTTTAAACAGAAAAAATTATAATAATATGTAATCAATAATCTGATAATAAATTATATATAATCAAGTTATAAACAAAATTAAAATGTATATTATTAATTTAATTTATAATTTAAGCCAATTTTTAAGGCAAAGAGTTTTTCTTTTATTTTCTTCCTTATATGACATGCGGTTTTTTGACAATAAATTAGTTCCAACTGAGAAAAGCCTTTCACAAGCAGTTGATGTTCCTTGTATAGATAGATAGATAATCCCATGCCATTTTCGAGAGCATGGGGATCCGAAATGCATTTGCCTTCCACCACATACGAATCATTCTAATAATGTTTCTTAGTTTTAGAATTGAAGGATCTAAAAATTTTAAAATTTCTTTGGATATTAAATTAATTACATGGGCAAAGCATCGGATGTATTTTTATTAATGGATATTTTAAAGAAAATGTATCAATAAATGTTTTATTATTAGTTGCATTATCTAAAGTTATATAAAAAATTTTATTCTCTAAATTATAAATTTTAATTATTTTAACAAAGGCTTTAAATATATTTTCACCTGAATGTGTTTCATTTATTGGACTGACATCCAAAATTATGTTATTTATTTTAAAATTATCATCAATAAAATGGGTTGTTAGCCCTAAAAAAGGAACCTGTGTTGCTAGTCCAAATGTCAGATCAAAAATTAATCTGACTTTTATTTTTATATATTTTTCCTTTACCAACTGTTCTTTTTCTGCAAATATATTATACATGTGCAATTTAAGAGTATTGGAGCATATTGATTACAGAACAATCAAGATCACTTATAAAATTTTTAAAATCATTTGAATTAATAATTTTAAAAGGTATATTATTATTTATCAATAATTATTAATAAATTATCCTTAAAATTAATTTTTTTTTGAAGAATTTGGTGTAGACTTTAAAAAAATGTCAATTTTATTATTATTTTTACTAAGGTGTGAATGAAACCTATTATAATGATTAATAAGAGATGTTGTTTTACCTTTACATTTTATAATACTCTTGCAATGATTGCAAGCAGCCTTTTCACCGTCTTTAAGGATTTGATATTGATCCCATATGATTGCTCTCTTTTGTGAGGAAATTTTCTCATCTTCATCATCAAGCATAATTTCATCAGAAGCATTCTCCTCTAACATAATTAGGCTAGCTAACAATAATTATTGTAGAGATGTAATATATTTTTATATACCTCTGGTTTATGTAATTTTTAATATAATTTATTATGAGATTCAAAAAATAAACTTTTCGTGAGATTCAAAAAATGTGACAAATAAAAATATTTTTGAATAGGCCTAGTAAATATATAATGGAAGAATGGACATTGTAAACAAACTCAAAATAATGAAAGTAAAGAAAAAAGAGATATAGTTTACATATATTATGTTTTAATGTATTTTAAAAGGTTATTTTCCACCCAGAATTCCTTTCTTCCACAAGCCCTCTCCTCCCTATGGACTACGATGATTTCGTCCGCGGCTGTCATCTTGGAGTTTTCCCTTCATATTACGAACCTTGGGGTTACACGCCGGCCGAATGCACAGTTATGAGTATACCCTCCATTACAACAAACCTTTCCGGGTTTGGCTGCTTCATTCAAGATAACGTCACGGATCCCATGAGTTATGGTAATCAAAATATCTCACATTAAATTAAAATCCCATATAAATCTGGTCAAAAAATTATTTTCAGGTCCTGAAATTTAAATTTTTTAGAGTTCAAAACATTTTTTTGGCACTAGCTTGTTTTCTACCCGATGTAGTATTGTAAAATCAATACTGTATTGATTCTACAATATTATAAAATCAATACCGTATTGATAATTTATGACTGAACCTCATCTTTTACGAATAAAATCGAAAATATAATTTACAGTCTTTTAATCGGCAATTATAGATTAGCACATCACAAAATTTTATATAGGATATCAAGAATTGTAAAATAAATAATTTCCCTGAAGAAATTATATAAAAGAATAGAAAATAATTTTTATAATTATAAATATATTTAAAACTATGAAATCTATTTTAAATAAATATTTTACAAGTCGAAAATGGCTGCCAATATTTTTGAAGCGATGAAAAAATATATAATAATTAATATTTTACAATTTTAATGGCCGCAAATATATTTGAAGCGATGAATAAATATATAATTAAATATTTTACAATTATAATGGCCGCCAATATATTTGAAACGATGAAAAATATATAATGAATAAATATTTTACAATGTTAATGGCCGCCAATATATTTGAAACGATGAAAAAGTATATAATGAATAAATATTTTACAATTTTAATGGCCGTCAATATATTTGAAACGATGAAAAAGTAATGAATAAATATTTTACAATTTTAATGGCCGCCAATATATTTGAAGCGATGAAAACTCTTATAAATCAATAGGGTATTGATTCGAAAATACCAAAATATCACTACGATATTGAATCTACAATCAATACGGTATTGAAGTTAATGGGTATTGATTTAACAATCCTAGACCTTACTCACAAGTCTCTGCTATCAATAGTTTTGATGATAAATAAATATAGTTGGGTAATTACCAATTTCATTTAAGCTGCTAAACCAAGTCCAAAAATTTACTTTGGTCTTGGGGTTTTTCTTAAAAAGATATTAGCTCAAATTTGGAAGAAACTAATATAAATTAAAACACCTTATTGTTAATGGATTTTTTCCAGCAATCGCCTGAAGTTTAAGCCGACATTTCGCCATTACCCAACTTTACAAATAAGTCAGAAATTATAATATAGATTATGGTATAATAAAAAGAAATAGGGATGAGAAATAAAATATAATTAGCCTATTCAGATGAATAATAAATGATAAATATGGTATAAGAAATTGTCGCGCAAAAATATTTGACAATAAAGAAGGAGGCATGATCAGTAGAAGATGGTATTGGAAAATTAGAAAAAGAGGGAATGGGAAGAATAAAATTTAAAAATAAAATAATTTATTTAGTTAGTAAACTCATATAAGAATAAGGATCATTTGTACATTAAATAGATACGAAAAAAAGTTGCTTTTATTCAAAAAATTAAAAGTCAAGTTGCTTTTCCGTTAGGAACAAAATATGACACGCAAATAAATTTATTTAAGGTATCTACATAGTAGACAGGAGGTTTAAGAATGCCGAAGAATCTGTTCAACAACTGGCGCAATACTTGCTTGATTTTTCTTGCTTAACGCGTCGGCAAAGAATAATTCAGAGGAACAGAACGGAAAGACTCAGCGACTTGTTGGATTGGAAGAATTTGTACCTTTATTATAGGAGGGTATGGTTACAATATTTTATTAGTAACCTGATTAAGGGAGACAGAATGGGGAATAGGCATAGATAGATTTGAAGGAAGGGAGTATGGGCGAAGGAAGGTAGTTAATAAGATAATAGAGACAGAATAAATGAAATAAAAAATAAGATTGATTATAATTTTATACATTATGAATACAGGCCAGGTATTTAGCTCTTTGCAAAGTTTTCCCCGATATGTACCATGAAACATCAGAATCTCAGAGTCAGCCAAATACGCCTAGTGGGCATTTGAAACCTCATATAGGACTTTATTATCCCAGGTTCACATTGTTAACTTATTTATATCACTTATTTCTATACTCCATTTTATTTTATATACTCCCATCTTTCTTCCATTACTTTCCCCACTTTTTCTTGTATCTCCCTCCCAATTTTACCTATTTTTTTAACCTTAATATGGAATTTTATCCATTTCCATAACCCCACACCTCCTTTCTCAGCTTTATCCTTTCCCCTTCCATTCTTCTATTTATTTCCTTGCATTTCTCATTTTCATACTCTATTTTTTGCCATTACAACGCTCCTTATTTTTTAAATTTCGGGAACTAGATAAAATAAGTAGTCATTCTCATTACCGCCATATTTATATTGTCGCGCCAAATAACTATGGCGGAGGTCATACCAGAGTGTTTGAAGGAATAATATTTAAAAATAGTAAACCAATAATCAAGCGTTTTCAAAATATAATTTTTGCTTAGTAGTTGTATTAATTTTAAAGAATTCTCATATTTTTAAAGTAATTAGTGTGTATATAATATAGTTAAAACTACTCTGTAATACTTATAGTTTTAATTTATTTAATAATAACTACCAAAATCAATTTCTCCAACACTGAAATGCCTTGGTATGACCTTAATGATTTGATATTTTGTCTTCTCACCTTGAGATACTAATATTTTTTTAGTGTCAGCCAGCTAATTATTAAACTATAAGATAAATGGGATGCATGAATAAATTTAAAATATTATGTATTGTATGTTGAAGATAATATGAAAAATGGGATGGATGTATAGAATTAAAAAAAATATGTATTATATGTTAAGCTAATATTAATTTTATGGATGTTCAAATAGTTGCTCCTCCTTTAGGGTAGCACTAAAGATCTTTAGATTAGAGCTTGCTATAAATTCTCGTAAAAACTTTGATTGATCCATCATCTTGCAAGTTGAGTGATACATTATCTAATAATAATGGCTTTGTTGATCCGAAACCCAGTTTTGCTACATCAGCATTGTTTTTTTTTAAAACTTATTTTATTCCTTATTTGAGATAAATTAGCGGGGAGACCTCAAGATGTCGTTTATAAAGATGTGTAAAGTCACTTGATTATTTAGTATGCCAATTAAGGTTTTATTTTTGTTAAAATTGAATTTTGCTCCTGCTTATATAATTAATATTCTCTTTTATCTTATATAAGGCAGGGCTGGGTTAACTTGCGGTATGTCTTAGGCGAGTTTATTTTATTCACTCGAGGATAGGACGGTCTATAGAAATGATTGATAGGGTATATGAAAGTTTGCAAAAATGTTCTTAGTGTTGTATTTGTAATGGATGCCTTTGGCTAAGCCGGGTAATGATATATAGCGTTGATCGTCATATAAAAATTTACTAAATAACGACCATTTTTTATTAAAATATAATAAGACTCACTTATTATTTAATGTATATTATCATAATCACGCGGTCGTCTCCAATATTATATATAAGCACCTAGTTGGCTTCTAAAACAAAACCTGGGCCTTGCTGGATTCAAACCAAAACTATGGGATTAGACGTAGGGATGTGAACCCTTCGACAAAAAAAGGGTCCGGGTTCAGGAATAAAATTAAAAAATGGGGTTCGGATACAGTATCCAGGTTTGGAGAACATAAAATATTGACACAAAATAACACAATTTTTTTTAAAAAAAATTCTTATACTCCATATAAATGTACACATAATTTACAAGTAAGAAATTTGAAAATTAATTTATATTTAAATATTTCATTTATTTGCTTAGCTTTAATATCATTTATAATAAAATATTATTACCTACATTACAAAACATAGGTATATCCAGGATTTTACTTAGGGTGGTAGGAGCACTATTAGGTTAATTTTTCCCCATAAATTTTATTGGAGATCATGAGGTTCACTTATAGGTCTTTGACTATATTAGATTTTTATAAAAATTTTGAATTATACTCTTTATTTTAATAAGTTAACTTCTACTAATTTTTCTTTCAAATTCTTCCTTATAGTGGTATATTGTATATATTTTTTGGAGAGAGGGGTTTGTAGGGAGGAACTTTTTATTAGTTTAAAATGATATTTACGAGAACACACAAATTTGCGATGAGGGGGGCGGGGGGATTTCTCCACTCTTAGTTATAATCCTGCTACAAAATTAGTTCACTTTCTAAAATTGATATAAAACAAGATAAGCAGCATTTTCCTATTATATAGCATATTTATAAGTTATCATTTTTAATAAAATATTATTACCCTATAAAATTCACATATTTCACTCTCTAAAATCGATATAAATTAAAACAGGATATGACCTATAAATTGGAAGTAAAAAAACTAGAAAATTTTGAAAAATACGAAGAGAATTCTTTAAAATTTATTTTTCATAGACTTAGTGAAAAATATGTATGTAATATATTAATTGAAATACTTTTATTTAAACAATAAAAATTAAACAAAGCATATTTATTATTCGAAATGAAAAAAAGAAGGGGTAAATAATGTTTAAACAAAAATCTATTGTTTATTTATGAAGAACTTTGAGATCGGGTCATGATATTTTATTAATAAAAATTCCAAAATTATTTTTAAACATAAAAGTGTGTAAAGATTTTCAAAATTATTTTACAGAAAAAATAAAGTATATCTAAACTATAAAAAATTCGTCCCTTTTATAGGGAAAATAAAAGGCGCAATTATAAATTAAAATTAAATTGGCGCAAAGTGAAAAAAAGAACGTTTTGTGGAACCGAGTTGTGTTAGTTTTATCGTACATAATTGAGGATAAAACCTACCCCCCTAAACTTCCCGAAACTCAAAATATACCTTGGGATGCAGGGTGGTCTCCCGGACCCAACGGTCTAACTCATATTTTTGGATCACCTTACTGAGGACTCCTAAAGTAAGAAATCCAGTAAAGTGAGAGAAAACACAAAAGCCATATGTTTTATTTTCACTGTGTTTAACTTAAAACAAAAGGACCAAAAAGAGAAACCTTTTTTTTTAACTTTCATTTTATTGTAAACAAAGGAGGAGTATTAAAAAAAACTTTATTTATCTTTAACATAAACAAAAGAGGGGGATTAAAAAAACTTTTTCATCTTAACCATAATAAAAGAGGAGGATAAAAAAAAACTTTTTTTTTCATCTTTAACAATTTATAAAATATATTTTACGTAAGACTGTGTTCAAAATCTAAAAAATATAAATGAATTAATTTTGAAAAAAAATAACATAAGCTATTTTGAATGTAAAGATAAAATAGTGTTCTAAATCATTTTTCTTCATTTACAAAAAATTATTACTTTTTAAAAAAAATAATAGAAATAATAAATTTGAAAAAAAATTATTTATTTTGGTATTTTTTATAGTAAGTAATATTAAAGTATGTTATATTTCATATTTTATTCTCGTTTTTTTTGTAAAAAAATAATGCAAAATTTCTGGCATGTTTCATAATTTTATTAAATTTGTGAAGATTTATAAATTTTGAGGTAATTTTCAAAACATTTTGGACACAGTTTTATTTAAAAATAGGTATATAAAAAAATTATGTATAAAATCAAAATATTATAAAATCATTCCATATGTTCTTCGACTTCTAAGATAATACCTTTTTAGAATATAAAACAGTAAAAATAAAAATTAATTATTATGGATTACCTAATTAATCGGCTGTCCGCGATAACCCAACTCCAGATATTGATGCATATGATTTTAAAAGTTCTTAAAATCATATGGAATGAATCCACGAAAGAGCTCAATAATAATATTGGTAATAATTTCATCTCGTGAATTAGGTCGAGGAGTGGTTGCCCGAAATTTATTTATGAATACACCAAAAAAAAATTCTATAGGATTAAGCTAGTGTGAATATGGCGGTAGATATTCAATTCTATCTTGGAATCGATTAAATGGGATTTATGAATAGATGCATTATTTGCAATAATTGCACCAGGTGGCAAAATATTAATATCTCGCATGGAATCTAAGAATAATAAGCCATTATTAGCTCCCTCCATTATTTTATAATAAATTACTCCTCCGATTCCAATTGTGCAAAGAATGCTAACTTTTTTACCCTTCGAAGAGGGATCTTTATAGTCGGGCGAACATTATATGGGGCCAGACATAAACTGGTACCACATGCAGGTTGATTTCCGTTTATCTAAGAAAAATAATTTTTCTATTAGGATATTTAAAACTTTTAAACAGTAAATTTGACGAATATTTATAGCCCCAGGCATACTTCTGTCAGACTCTTTGCCAGCTCTTTTTTTTGACCAGCCAATATCTTATATATTTTCTCATAGTAGCCTTATTTTTGGAATTACCAGGCGGTAAATTATTAATATTGTCTTGTATCGTAAACGTATTATTTGTCATTAATAAGTCCATAATATTTCTTTTAATTATAGATCAATTTTTTTTTCTTACTTTCTATTTTAAATAGCGTATTCCTATAGAGGATCTCCATTTATTTCTGGAAATATATCTCGTCTAAATTTATGAAGTGACGCTGTAGAAATTTCAATATATTTAGCCTTGTCTTTAACTTTCAATTGTTGTTTTCCCGGTAGAGATAACAATTTACTGTCGATTTTTCCTTTATTCCAATATTTGATTTTTCTGGGTCTTGAAATAGTAGACGAGGATTGGGAGTTTGCATTTAAGTTATAATTGACAGAATTTGATAATATATTATTAATAGTAAACATTATATGTAAATTCAGATTAGTCAGTTAATTAAAATCTTTCTTTTAATTTTTTTAAAAATTAATTTTTTATCGTAAAATGTATTTTATAAATCAACAATAGATTTTTGTTTAAACATTATTTATCGCTTCTAGTTTTAAATAATAATAAATATGCTTTATTTGAAGAACAAGGTGGCCAGGCATATCGTGCAACTAACTAAATAAAAATAGAAACTGTTTCTAAGGTTTCCATAAAGTGTCAATGATGTGAATTTGAAACCATCAGAGATAGCCTTCATTTTAAATTAAATTTTTTTATGTATATTATATTATGCATGAATCAATAAAAAAATTAACAAATACCGTGTTGCATCATATTAATTTATGAGAGAACTTAAAGGGTTATTACCCGGCTAAGCTTGGGTGGTTGTAGCCTAAGCATTATTTGGAAGAGGCATTATAGATATATTATTGATAGAGGATTGGAGCTTTCTATTTAGCATTCAAAAATTTGGCTAGCTTAGAAATGGGTAGATATTATGGTTATCTAATGTAAACCAAATTCTAGATAAAAATATTAAGCTTTGGCAGAGTTATATGTATTTTTTTATTTTACTTTATTTACATAAATTTATTAATTTTTTTCAGGGATGTGAATCTGAACCTTGATCCTAAACCCTGATATTTTGGTTGTACCCGAACCCGGGCCCTTTTTAAAAATGGAGATTTAAGGGTTCTATGTGTCGGAAAAAAAATTTTTGCTTTAAAATTATGAAATAAATTGAATTTTTTTTATATCTTCCCATTCAAAATTTTCTGGTTTTTATACTTGCATTTTATCGGTAATATCTTGTTTTAATTTATATCAATCTTAGAAGCTGATATATGTGAATTTTGTAGTGTAGGTAATAATATTTTATTATGAATGATAATTTTATAAATGCTATATAATATGAATACGTTGCATATCTTGTTTTAATCAATTTTAGAAAGTGAAATATTAATAATTTTGTCAAGCCCTTCCCCCTCACCCATCGCAAATTTACCTGCTTTCGTAAATATCATTTTAAGGTAATAAATATTTTCCCCCTGCATATCCCTCACCCCAAAAAATGTAAACAATATATTACGAACTTTAAATATAAATTAGTAATTAATAACCTTTAAATATAGATTATAATTCTGAGAACCCAAGATTATTTTTATAATATAGCCAAGCCTAAAATGCATGCACCTAAATATCTCCAATAAATTTTATGGGGGGAAACCCCTAATAATTCCCCCCCCCCTCTAACAAAACCCCTGATATGCTTGTTTTGTAGTGTAGGTAATAATATTATATTATAAATGATATTGCCAAGCGATTAAGCAAAACATTTTTATAAATTAATTTTTTTACTTGTAAATTATGCATGTCTATTATTTTTTCGGAGTATCAAAATTAATAAAAAAATAAATTGTGTAATTTTAAGTCAATATTTCTTTATGATCTCCAAACCCGAACTTTTAAAAAAAATTTTATTCCTGACCTGGACTCATTTTTTTGTCGAAGGGTTTATATCCCTGATTTTTTTTATTAAACTTAACCATTCAGTTATGATTAAAGTGGACGATATATGCTTAAAAAAATGATTGATCAATTAAAGATATTTATGCATCTTTAAAATTGAATTTATCTTTGCTTTTCTTAGTTTTAAGTGGGTCATTTGTTATTTTTAAATAAACCTTAAATATTCTTTCATTTTGGTCAATTTCAATTGGCTATATCGAAAATAATGGTTTAAATCTTAAAATTCTATTTTATCAATTTTAATATAAAAAACGTAAGTAGAGCACTACAAAATTCAAGCCACGATTATGTGATAAGGTCGTGAACTAAGTAAGTAAACATAATGGTTAAGTATTTCTGCAATGTTTAAAGCCATTTTTTTGTTGAGTTTCCTTATTACGCTTACATAATTATGGGAAATATTTTTGGTCCTAGCTCCATATATTATATTAATTTACAAAATCTTAATCTATTTTTGTTGTCCACGCTGAGTTTTTAAAATCTAAACCGATGTTTATTGACGAGTGAAAAAATCATGAACTAAGTAAGTAAACACATAATGGTTAAGTATTCCTACAACGTTTAAAGCCATCGATTTTTCAATGTTTATATCCTTACTCTTAATAATCTTGGCAAAATCTCTGTGGGCAAACAATTTGATATTTTTTGGTAATAAAAAAGTCATAAATAACGGGGTTCCTAAAGGGGCCTTCAAATTTGGCCTAAATAAGTTTTTGATTTTTATTGAGAAATATATAAATTTATTGGTTTTCTTTTCTCTCATCACATGCTTTTCGGTTATACTTGTATATTCCCTATTTCAGCTGTAGATAGTAGAAGGGTATATGATTCATTTTATTTGTATGTGGTTATAGATTTATTACCTTAAATTTTCCTGTATCAGTATTGACAGAGACGGTATTAGTTGCTTGATTAAAGTAATTCTCGAATATATTTTTTTAGATACTGATATCAACTTTTTATGATACTTGAAATTGGTGAAATTTTAATAACTGAAAATATTTCTTAAAATAATAAATTTTACACTCATTTTTAATTTTTTTCTTGCGAATAGACCCTACTCAGTGGGACCTAGTCCGGCCGGTTCTAGAACCTCATCTACAGTCGGTTCCTTATCAGCATCGGACTCCGAAGATTCTGATGATTCGGAAGCATCAGAAGAAATTATAGCTCAACATACGTCTCATGCTGATGTATTAAAACAGATGCTTGAAGCGAAAACTGGCCCGGGATTGAATAATAAAAAATCGGATAGTACTGGTGAAATATCCAACCCATATACCGGGTCCCAACCTGTTACAGATGCTATCGCTAATTTGATCCTAAAGGAGTCCCGTCAGAGAGACCGCAAAATAGAGGACAGGCAAATAAAAGACGAAAAGAAGGATTTGGCACAAATATGAATCATTCATGAACCTTTTTTATTTGTACATTGCCCCCTATTTTTCAATCGAAAATTATAAGCTTACTAATATTAATGTAAGAATTATTCTGATTATTTTGATATTTTACCCTTTCTCATCCATCTAATTTCAAAAATCTCATTCGCCAAAAAATGCAATATTTACACAATTTTTTTACCCCTTAAAATTAGTGCAAATATTAAATTTTATCTTTGTAAATTACTCGATATTTTTTAGAAAAAATTTATACCATTTGGTAACCTTCCCCAATCATAAAACGACATTTTGAATAATTAAATTTGACAATTAAGATATTATTCTATTTATTTTTTTTGATATTTTAAACTCAACTTTTAAGGTGATAGTTACAGAGGATATTTACTTTGTTTGATATATAAACGTCAATCACTTTTTAAAAAAACGATGCATTATCTTTGTGAAAACTTGTATGATGTCGGAAAATTTTTGGTTTATGTGCTCTAAATTAGACTAAAGCAAGAAATGCGAATGTCTCTCATTTACTTGGTATAATTTTACAAGACGCGAAGTTATGAAAATTTATTAATTATATTCCCGCTATCTTAAATGTACTGTCAGTATGAAAAAAGAGCATTATAGATTTTTTTTTTTAAAAAATCTGAATATTTTTTCTAAATTTATTTAAATTTAATATAGTACATAATATTTATATTTATTGTAATATCAATTTTTTATTTTTCCCAGGTGCAAAAAAATTATTTTTCTACGTAAATGGAAATGAATCCAAAATCATAAATTTGATGACAATTATTATTTTTTCTTTTTGGGAATAATGACCTTAAAGGAATACCGGAAATAAAAGTAATAAAGGATTATTACACTTAAATTTTTATTTGTTTGAAATGAGGAAAACCCGCTAATTATTACTTTCAAAAATGTGAGTGATTTTTAAAGTTATTTTCAAATTTAATATTAAAAAAAATATAAGTGTATCATTGTTAATGGCGATACACTTGATTTAAAATTTTAAATAATTTCGAGTCGAGTATACTTTTTTATTTTAAAATCAAAAGTCAATTTTAAATCGTGAATAATATAATTTTTAATATAAAATTATTCCATAAAAAATAAAACTGCCTGTTTTTTTAATCAAATAATTATTTAAATATAAACAATACATTATCAAATAATTGGCAGGTTCATCTTATAAATGAGTATAGATTTGTAAAAATAATACAACACACCCACCTTTAACAAGCCAAACGTCCTTATAAACCAAAAAATGCTACAATATAATATAAATGCGTTCGGCATAATTTTAAATTTAAAAGAAATTCATATGCCATATTATGCCAGGATTTATCAGGCACTATAATTCCATAAGTACAAGACAAATGCATTTGACCAGCCTACAAATTCATCCTCTTTTATTAAAGATTATTATCTTGGTCTTAATAATATACCTTCTAAAAAATGTTTTCGTATATAATCATTATTGTAATATTACACCCTATATGAAAATATATTAAGTGAAATGAATATAAATAAAATGTTTTGTTTACCATTTTTTTTAATCTTTAAATACAATGTCCAAAAATATAAAGCTTTAAATTATGTCAATTTTTTTAAAATATCTATCTTTTATCTTATTAAACTTTTTGAAAAAAGTATCTTATGTCTATATCTTAAATCCTATACTTTTTAAAATTTGCCCATCCCTGATTGGTGTAAATATTTCTTATTTATTACCATAATTTTTCGTATTGTAGGTGAAGCCTAAAATAGATACAAATAATAACTTGTCTTAGAATAATTTTATGTCTGATTACTAAGATTTATGTACATATGATTAATACACGAATAGCATCACGATATGCTCTCATTCAATTATAACCCATGCAAAGGTATCGTCATTGAAGAGCACGTGAGCTAGGACAAAAATGTCTTTCCGTTAAAATGTCAAATTTGAAATTATGATAACATGTTGGAGAAATTTTATAATTTTTATCCTGGAACGTGGAGCCGTCATCATCATTTTTTTATTTATACCAAAATTACCGATAAAAATTTAAAAATAAATAAGGATTTAGAAAAAAATGATATAATTCACCTTCTTTAACTTTTTCCAATTTTAATGGGGTACAAATGAAATAATTGCACTCTGAAGATCTATTTTTTGGCATAAGTAAAAATATTATTTATAATTTTCTGATAGTAATGTTAATTTCTTCTAAATCCTTTAGGATGGAAAGGGTTTATCAAAGTTACTAATTATGGAAGCCATAATTGAAATAAAACTTATTGTTTAATAATCAGTATTATTTTTTCAGCCAGCAAAGTAAGTTTTCATAGATATCAGATTTTGCGAAAATATTTATGTTCATATTAGCTGTTTTTGTTTAATTTTGGTATCTTACATCTCCATGAAGAGCAATATCACGTTTATTATATAGCTTTATCCTACATTCGATATGCCTACTATTTCCAAGCAGAACGTTTTTTATTAACGATTAAATGCCGCCTGAGATCTAATCAATCAAGTTTATTTTTATTTAATATATTATAAAAACAAATTAATTAGACAACTTATTATCCCTTGTTAGGCAATAAGTAAAGAATATGTTAGAAACTGCTTAAAAAAAAGTTCTGTCTAGAAATGACCAGCGTTTTATTTGAATGTTACCCCATTTTTCTAAGTGTTGCTTTATTAATTGTTTAAGCATAAAAAATCAGGGACACGAAATGAAACGTTTTGGGAAAAATTATGGCACACAAACGTGATTCCAAGAACAGCTCAGAAGTGTTTAGGAAAATAATAACTTTAAAAAAATCTTAACAAAAACAAACTTCTGACTAACCTAACTAGTGAATACAAATACCTGCCAAAACCATATGGATGAAAGGTGAGTGAGGGGCTGCTTTTCGCGTACCAATATTTCCCAGAAAATCCATTGAAACTTAATTTTCTGATTAAATTATTTTATAATAAATGACCGTTACGGTTGTTCTTTCTACAGTATAGCTTGCACATAATAGAATCTTATGGAATTCAAGGAAGACTCATTAGGCAGGCTGAGAACGTAATATATACAAATTAGTGATGCAAAATCACTATTTAAGGCGATTGTTAAAAACGATTAACTCAGTATTTTATCCTGAAAAAATATTATGCAAGCCTAAAGAATTTTCTAATAGATTTGTACATCTATTAACAAAATAGCTTGGCAATATTTTCCTGGCTACAATATTGAGTTTCGTTTTTAAAAATCGGCTTACAGATTATTATAAAAAGTTTTAATTTTCTAAACTTTTTCTTGGAATCTTAGTATTTAGACAATAGATTTCTGATAGGACTTCCTAGTGAAATAGCCAAAATTAAAGAGAGCTATCGCTTTTTCTTTATCTTTTCTTCTGAATCTTTTAAAATCTGAACATTATATTATTATTTGACCTAGGAATTGATCATTTTTAAGGTAATAAATGTTACCGATATGATTCAAGCCATTAGCTTTTAAACAGTTTTTCCTTTTCCTTGAAAGCCACTCTTATTTTAATTAACACGTCATACATTTTCCCTAATTAAAAACATTTTTTCACGCCATAAGATTTTCTCCAATTTTTTATAACACCGTTACTTTAAATATTTACTCGAAACAACCCGTAACATTTGCCCCTAAACCTTAGCCACATTTACAAAACAAATTAGGAGCGATTGGAACTCAGCTCCCCTTGCCCAATCTCTCTCACGGTTCATTATTTAGGAATCCCTCCTAATAGCATTAAGTTCGAAACTTTAGCCCGTCCTCCCCAATCTATCGCTAAAAGAATTAATCTTCCCCTGATTCCTATTTCCGTAGCTTATTTAATTAGATCTCGCCCGCAATAAAGCGAATATTAATAAGTTGAGATTATTCCCGGGAATGGGGGGTTCAAATATCTAGAGATAACAGTTCCTCATTTCTACAGCACCCGCTTAGAATATATTTTAGTTTACCCTATGCGTTTAACCTCTGCAACACCTTTCAAATAATAGCTAAAAGATTCAACAATGTTTGATATTTCTTTCCATTTGATACAATCAATGGTTTATTTTATACTGTTATATTCTTGAATATGGTTACTTGATGACAGAATAGTCAGGGAACAACCTAACTAATTTTCAGGATTGTGTAATCCATTTTATTTTAAAATTAATAAACAACAATAAATTAATTTACTGACACAGAAAATAATACAAAATTATGAATAATAGATTCTTCATCTGAGTCCAAAAACATCTGTTTTTGTTAGTTTTTATTCATTATTTTTCCATATTCAATAAAATATATTTTTTTTTTATTTATAATAATGTATAAATTTTACAACATATTCCGCCGAAATAGTAAAATATAAAATATGCTATTTGATTTGTAAAGACTTAAATTTGGATTTCAAATTTTTTCAAAATAATACTTCAAACTTAATCCTTTTATAAAAATTTAGTTAATATATTAGTAAGAAATTAAAACTATTAAAGGTAGGGAATCCTTAAATGCATGGATAGAAACAATTTTTTTATGTCAATATTAAATTGCATCATAAAATAAATAAAAAATCCAATGAGATATTTGGATTTTAAAAGCGAGTGCTTTAAAGAGTTATGAAGATTTATAGGGGGAGGGAGAGATGGAGGGAATTTTAGGCAAATATAAATATTAATTTTTTTCTAACTTTGGACTAAAATCTTTTCCTTTCTTGAAGATATAATATTTGCATTAACTGTAGTTAATTTTGATCAATAAATCGTGTGTATTTTTTTAAAAAATGATTAATTTATAAGTGCAAATGATGAATTTGATGTCTTTTGAGTGTTTTTCTGCACATGGGACATTTTTTGGATATAGCAAAAGAAGTTAGTATACAATTTTGGCAAAAAATATGGCCGCAAACGGTGGCCATCATGGAGTTGTCTTTTTGTCGCAGAATCTATTATATAACAAATAAAAATAGTTTCCAAAGATTATTTTTTATATAAATTTCTACTTCATTATTCAATTTACCCATATATATTTTTTTTAAGAAAAAAAATATGAGAACAGTTATTGAAATCTTAAAATAACTGATTGCGCATTGATGTTGTCATCTAAGGCGCCATCATTTTCTCTTAAATTTCTCAAGATTTTGCTTTACCCCGTTCCCGGTAACATCATGGGGTTAGTAAGATACACATTTCTAAAGGATAACTCGAATCTTTCGAAGTGGAGCATAGAATGAATCCATTGAAATATATACATTTCGCAAGACCGTTTATAAACCTATTTGTTATTTCATTTTGGGAGAAAGCTGAGATCAAGGCACAAATTTGATCTTTAAGCTCAAGTCTGAATTATTAAAATTTTGGGTCTGAGCTCGACAAGATTTTTATTTAGGCTAGAACCCAAATTTTATGGGGGGGGGGATCACTAATTGTTTAACTTGTCACAGAGAAATTTTAATTTTATAAAAGAAGAAGACATTATTTTCTATTATATTTTTCAAGCATGATCCCGATTCTAAATATTTTTCTAAATTTTAAGCCTACAAAAGCCCCAGCGTCATTTCACAAGATGCCTTATATCCCGAAGATACTCATCATCTAGCAAGGATAAAGCGGCATTTAGTAACTTTTTAAATTCGATGATTTTTTTTATTGAAAATAATATTTGTTTCCTCAAATTTGTTTATCACTCCCGGTGAAATTCGAAAATAGTTAGTGTTGAACTGAGAAAATGGATAGTGTTGAACTAAAAAACTATTTTTATAAAAATCAGTAAATCCCAGGTTTTGAATATAAATTATTTGCAGGTATTTACTTTAAATTTTTGTCCCTTCTTAGATTAAAAAGATTTGAAATGAGACTAGATGTCGCGTTGAAATGACGTGATGATATTAATTGTAAATTATCTTTTACCACCAAATGGAGAAAAGACAGTTAAGTTCTTTTTTGAGGAAAGATATATTAAAATAAGATATATATGGGAGAAATTAGTGGCAAGATTGAAAAATTTTTTTTCCTGATGACTCGGACGATGAACTATTAAAATTTTCGAGATGAAAGAGACATCTTTGCTAAACAATTCCCAAACATTAAAACCTTGTTTATACAATATAATACACTCCCATGCAATTTTCAGCACCTATTAAATATAACGTATTTCGCGAATTCTTAAATTTATAATAACTTATTTAGCATGTTTTTAAATTTGTAAAACTTATCTTGCCAGAAATGTATTTCAAAATGGGTAAACCTATCTTATAAATTCCATACAATTTTTTTAAAGATATTAGACATATTGGCAGAATTACTGGTAACATAATATAAAAAGCATGATAAATTTCAAATTTTTTTAAAAAAATGAAAGGAAAATAGAAGAGAGGGCGGTTCATGTAAAAGTGAACTCTTGTATAAACGTTGTTTCCGATATAGTTTCCAGGCGCTATGCCCATTTTATCTTAGTTTATTTATACTATGATTTTTGTTCCAAAGAGGGGCCAATATTAGAATTTTAAGTTTATCGTGGGGAGATTAACAACCTACTACTGTTTATAAAAGCAATAGATGTTCTATCACAGACTAAGAGGGAATCAATCCCACGGAATATAATATTTGCCGAAATAAATGATGAAAAAAACGAGTTGAATAAAAATATGGATCCATTATATTTGAATAAAATTAAAATGATATAATTTTCAGTGCACTAATTTGTGCATTATCTAGAAAATTGTGATGAGCTAAAAGCAGATAGAAAAATGTATGGTAGTAGTGGATATAAAACAAATTGCATTGATATAAATAAATGGGAATTACCGGCAATTGAAAGTTGTAAATATTTGGGTTTCAAATTAATGGCACAAAGAAATTTATTAGGAGTGCACTTTAACAAAAGAATTTTGCAAATAAAAGGGGAAATATACAGTTATATAGTATACCCAAATATCCTATATAGTTCGAAAATTTGGCCAAGGAAGATAAGCCTACAGATAATGGAGATGAGAATGCTGAGGATGATAGCTGGGGTAATCAAGAAGGATAAGAGACGAATTATAAATATATTAGGAAGTTTAAAGGTAGTACCCCCTCTCTCTCCGCCATTCACAGGCCACACTTGATCAACTTTCTATCTAACTATCTGGATATTAAAAACAATCCTCTCCGGTGTAATTATAAATTAAATATATATCGAATTAAATATATGCAACTCTTTGTTTTCTTTTTTCTTACTTTATTGGATAATTCGACAATAAAATTGAAAGGCATAATACTTCGAAATAGAGTAATATAATAATTAAAAATAATAATCTTCGTTTTTTCCCTTTTTATTTTATACGATTATTTTCTTCTGATCATACATCATATTCCTCCTCCTCCCACAAATCTTCCAATTCAGCATCAGTAATGACCAAATAGGCAATCCCATAACTCCCCTTTAAGAATGTCTGGTCCAATCGCTTCTGAAGAAACATCCTGACTAGTCTCAAATTCTGGTAGCTTCAGGCCTAAACCAGCTGGCGTCATCTTTTATCGGGGTGGCCCAATTCTTTCTTTTCACCACAATAATCACAGCCAGACCTGGATTACTTCTTCTCTAACTGTATGGTCACTCGCATCGGTCGCGCTCCTTCCATCCTGCGGGTGGGTTCACGTAAATGGCCGCCAACCTCCGCTACAGGCCTGGCTCGGGAGGCGGTTACAAATCTAATAGGCGTTTTCACTTGCCTTACTTCATCTGACTCTTCCAGTGGACATATATCATAGATGTCCCTCTTGATGATACCAGAAGCATCGGCGTCGCTCGCCCATCGGTTGAAACCTTCCTCCTTCACCGTGACATAGAGGGCGCACACAAAGTTCAATCATTGGCTTCGAGTTATTTGAGCGTCCATAAAAGACGCTGTTAGATTTGTAACCTTGTCTATACCCAGGCCTATAACGGAGATTATCGGTATTCGCAGTGAACCAACCCCACAGGATGGAAGGAGCGCGTCGGAGGGGAGTGGCCAGAAAGTTAGAGGAAGTAGCCCAGGTGTGGCGGAGGGGCCACCCCGATAATAGACGACACCTGGAACAGTGTTTAACGCCAGTTGGTTTGGGCCAGGAGCTAGCAGAATTTGAAACTAGTCAGGAGGTTTTATCGGAAGCGATTGGACCAGAAATACTTGAAGGAGAGTTGGGGGATTGACTAGATTCGGTCATTATTGATGCTAAATTGGAGGATTTGTCGGATGAGGAGGAATATGATGTATAATCAGAAGAAAAGGTATAAAAGAAAAGAAAAAGGGGGAAAACGAACATTATTTATAATTATTATATTATTCTATTTTGATGTATTGTGCCTTTCTTTATTGTCAAAGAAATTGTCGAATTATCCAATAAAGTAAAAAAAAAGAAGAAGAAAAAGAGTTGTATACATTTAATTCGTAGTGTATATATTTAATTTATAAATACCCCGGAGAGGATTGTTTTTAATATTAAACATTATAATGCGCACAAATTGAGTGTTTCAAACGTTGCGTTGCAAAAGCCAATAATATATTTCAAATGGCATCATGCAAATTGGTGAAATTACCGTTTGGCGTTAGCAACTATTTTAAAAAACGCAAACAGTTTTGCTTTTTTCGTTAATTTTTTATTCTCCATTTTGAAATATTATATAAATGTAAAAAAATATAACTTACTTATATCTTAAAAATAAATATTTATAAATTAAGATAAAAAGGCAGACGATAATATAACTTTCAAAGATAAATCCTTTTATAAAACTTGTTAAAATTTTGAATCGACGATATTAATAAAAAGGCAACCTCAATTTAAACAAGGGATGAGTTATGGTTTTTTAATTAAAAAAATGCGGCAAAACGCAAACGCTCAATTTGTACGAGCTATTAATCTCTAATGCAATAAATCAACAGCTATGTCGGAAACGAAGATAAAAGTTTATAGAAGTAATGGGTAAATGAAAGAAAGGCAGATCTAAAACCTCAACGGGCCTATAAAGTAAAAGCGAATATCAAAAAATTTAAATGACTAAGATGGATTGTATTAGATATCTGTAGTTGGCATGTTTTATCCCAAACGCCCAACCATTGTTTAAATTTTTTTTTAACAAGTTCGTCCGTCTGCCCAATGTTCAAAAATTGTATTATTGATTTCAATGTAATTTTACGTGTAATATTATTAAATAAAAAAATGATTTTTAATGAATAGAAGTCTGTTCTGCCCATTTCGCCCAAAAAATATTTCAAATACACCTACCACTTATTTAAATTTTTTTTGTCGCCACATCGAAATATTTTAGCCGCTTCCGCCTAAACGCGAATAATGGGTGGGCTAAAACCCTCCCATTGCATACCTTTAGATTGTATGGCAATATAAAATGAAGAGAAATACTGAAGATTACCACCCGAAAAGATAGAAAAAAATATGATCAGTTTAATATACTAGCTAGATTCATATAGATAATTACCTAATGCTAAAAAAATATAAATGGTTATAATTCTATCTTGAATCACAATAATCTTTAATTTTGTAACTGTTAAAATATTACTTAATATACCTTCTCTAAAAAAGTTCCTTAATCTTCCTTAAAACTTATACTTTTATCTTTTTCAAACACTTTTTATTATACTTTTATACACTTTTCCAAAACTTTTTATTAATATGTATCCAAAATTTAATTTTTAAGCGATAAAAAAAACTAACTTTGTCCTTTTTTTTTATAAAATTCTATATTTCTTCCTAATTTACACATCTATATATATAATCACCGTAATCAAGAAATGAACGTTTTCGTATAATCTTAATGTTAATTTTTATTTTTCCTATCATCTTAATGTTAATTTTTTCTATCAACTTTCATATCTTAATGTCAAATAAATCGATGGAGACTATATATCTCTAATGTTAAATTTTAAGAAAATCTTTTGTACATCACGGGATTCGAACCTATGACTTAACGTTTTAAAAACAAACGTTCTTCCCACTCAACCACCTTCTATATTAAATTTTATAATATGATCTTTCTTATATATGTTATTATTTTGCTATTAACATTAATTTTTCAATTAATTTATATAATTTAGATCTTATTGTGTTATATTAAAAAGAATACTAATCTCACCTCAAATTATGGTAAGAATGAATATTATTAAATTTAAAATAGCAAATTAAATTAAATTTAACCAATTGAAAAATAAAAATTTATCTCATATTAATTATAGCATAATATTTATATTCAATCAAAGTAAAATTTATTAATTTTTATAAAATTATTTTTATATTACAATTTAGAACAAATAAATTTAAATTATTTACCACTCCAAAATATGGCAGTAACATTTTTTTTATCTCAACCACAATATGGGAGCTCTGTAAATAGTATAAAATACCTATTTATCAATATATTCCATGTCAGAAAATTAACCTCCCTCACTAATCCTAATATTACAATTTAGATTTAACAAGATTTAACAAATAAATTTAAATTATATTTAGCCAATTGAAAAATAAACATTTATCTCATATTACCACCCCAAAATATGCCATTTAAAAATTTTTTCTCAACAACAATATTTGAACTCTGGAAATGACATATAATACTAATTTATCTATATCTACCCTACATTTTTTATTACAATTTCATATATTTTAAGCTAAATTTAATAAAATGAATAATAAAATTTGTCATTTATTTAAAAAAAAATTTCATATAATAGTTAAAGATTTTATCATTCCCGTCATTCTTGACGGGTTATCAACTATAAAATATAAACCCTTTAAAAAATAAACAAAATAAATTATTCTCTACATTGCACTAAAAATAAATGGAAATATAACATGTGCATATATATCAATTTTTCTCCAAACATGTAAATAAAAAAACGTTGACCTTTTAATTAATGAAAGATAATGACAGTCACTCACTAAACTATTAAGTAGCCAGATATAAAATTATTTGTAATCAAAAAAATTATTAAAGTTACAAAAGATAAAAAAACTTGAGTGTGATCGTCTAAGCAAACACTGCAAGATACGCTCTGCGATGTGTCGTTAGCGTCGTTTGGCGTATTTTTTGAATATCTATAAGAAAGGGAATATAAATAAAATGTAAGAGAGCCACCGATGAAAAGCGATTGGCGGGGTAATATTAACGCTAATAACTTTTTAACCCTTAAAGCATGAAGACCTTAAAATTTTTATATCTAATTTCTTACCTATTTTCATCTTTTGAAAAAACTTTACAGGTTTGACATATTTTGCCAAAAAAACCATTTTTTTACCCGAAAATAATAAAAACAGCCCTCTAGTTTATTTTACTAAATTAAAGTTCAGGATTTAAAATTTTGTATGATTTAATCTGTAAAATGATAATTATTAAAATATTAAAGGCTACACCATATGAAAAAAATATTTTTAAGCAAAAAAGATAAATAATAGTTTTGGTGTTATTTTGAATAAAATTTTAAAAATAATCGCAAAGGGGAGAAATAATTGAAATGTACGATGAGTCTAAAATGGGCATATCAAAAATACTTAACATTCTGGTATTATATTAATTAGAGGTCTGCAAAGTGAATTTTTCACAGCCCGATCTCTATCTAGCACACATTTTTTTACTCTATCAGAGTAGGAGCTAGATGGTGAGTTTATTTATAGATTTTTGCCCAATCATATCTCTGTTGTTTTCTCGGCATTAATCAACTTGTTAATATATTGGCACAAATCTTTATAATATTCTCGGGACGACATTTTCATGTCCCGAAATTTCGGGCACAAAAATATTTATTTGAAATTTATCCACCTTTATTTCCCGACATCTTTGCGACAGTTGGTTAAGCCGCGAATTTAAATTTAGATGGATGAGCTAAAAAACCAATATTTTAAGATACACAATATAATTTTGTGAATGGAGGGTTATCACCCACAAGTCCATCACTCGCAATTCTAAAAGGCGACAGAAACTTTATAGGGTCTCTCATGATTTCATAATCTATTTCTTTTCTCTAGAACTGAGAATCTTCAATATTTCATTGAAATGATTAAAAATCGACTCAATCATTTTTAGTCTGCTATTCAATTGAGTCTCAATACACAAATGGAATGGTTTATCAAGTTGATAAATTAATCGAAAATTTAATGCTATATTTTAATAAAAGGTTGATTTAACATACCCACTCTGTTTCATATAAGTAACTAAACTTTTACAATTAACAAAACTTTGACATATCTCTGAACCTTAAGTTTCAATATTTTTATTATCAAAGGTATTCCTTATATTTAAAAGATGAGAAGCACAATTCAATCTTTTATGATTTTCAAATGCTAATCATAATAGCTCCTTGGTCTGTAATGTATGGCATTTCAGCTAAATATTCCCAAATGTATCCTGATATAAAAAATACATTGATTTTTATAATTATTTTTAATGAAATCAATGCCTAATAAGATGGAATTTATAATTTCCTTTTTAATATTTTCACCTGTCTATTCTTCTTCTTCAAACTTGCATGCAAACAATACAACTTTATGAAGTTTTCAAAAATCGTTTAAAATGAATAGTAAGAGTTACATAGGATATTTTCTTATAATCATCAGTCTAAAAGTCTGTGGTGGCTATAAAAAATTATAAATAATTTAACCATACTTTCATATATTTGTTACCAGCACATCAACCCTTTTTCATATATGGGTTTAATTTTGGAAATATATCTATTTAATTTCTAGAAGGTGTCATGGGATTTGGAATGATGCTTTTAACATCAATATTTCCAAATATTGAGCCAATTTTGGCAACAATCAACAAAGTCTTCCACATGTGTATTTAATGATCTTATATCACGTTCACAAAAGATGGCAAACACTTTTGTACACTATTATTTTTTAATTTGGTGCAACTTTTGAGTTCTTTGAGATCAGTACCAATTTAGTGTAAAAAATATACTAACCTGTTGTTATGGAATTATAAAGTATATATATTGGAAAAAATTGCAACACATAATTAATTTTTATTTGTTTTCATCATATATAAATGAAAACTTTTCCAAACCTCAGATTTGCCATTCCCTTACTTCATATTCATTGCTTTTAAGTTTTTACCAATTTTTTTAAATTTGGCATCCATTGAGATAATTTTTTTTAATATGAAAATATGTGGATATTTAATTATATAGATATTAGTAAAATATATTTTATTTAACTTGCTAGAATATGATGAAAATAAAGTATGTAATAATATCATTTTAACTATGCAATGCAATGTACTAAAATATAATCACATAAAATCGTTTGGTATATGGTTGTTATGGAAATTAGAAAATAATTGAAAATGACATGTTATTCTGATTGACATTATAAATTATGATTATTTAGGGTTTCGGGTAGGGTAGGGTCGAGTTACGAGTCAGACAGCTCTTACAACATGACCTAAAAAAATCTTTAAGGGCTCGGGTCGGGCTACGAACAGCCTGTGCAATTCTCTAGTATTGATTAGTTTAATGCTTAAAAGTGATAAAGGCATCAAAATTCCAATATTTCGTTGAATAAAGTTACACTTTACATAATTAATCATAGCTCCTAATTTTAGGTAGAGAGCTACACTTTATTTTATTTGTAGATGAGGGATTGCTTCATATATATCTATAATTTGTTCTGTTTTGTATTTGTATCAAAATTTTATGGTAAAAATGTTAAATGCCTGTTTTTACCCCAGTCTCCCCTAAATATATTATATTGTAAGAGTGATTATTTACATTATTTCAGGAACTCATTTTGATTTTTTATAAATGAACTATAAAATTGAATCCGTTTTCTTTAAATTTTTTTAAATACACTTGTATTATACTAAGTTTCGTTAGGGCATAATATATCTTTATTCATTTTTTAATAAAATAGAAATTATAGAAAATTGACTCGTAACCGAAGATATCCGAAATTAAGAAGTGTTACTTAACTAGTGGGGTTAAGGAACAAAAATGTTTTTCTAAAAATATCGATCCTAAAATGAAGTTAAATAATTGGAAGTCATTTTATTTTTGGAAAGATTATACAGTTTAATTACATGATTAGTTATTAATTTCTCTTTCCGAAAATATATAATCTTTTTCCAAAATTAAATATTCTATCATGGAGAAAAAGTGGAGGTTGGCACAGTCTGACAGACCGAAACTACTGGCACAAAATTATTACGCATCGAGCCAAAAGTCGAGCAATAAATTCTACGGGTCGACCTCTAAAGATTGCAATGAAAGTTGCTAAATTTTAATCCATATTTTAATACAGGACTATGAATGCAAGTGGTTCCTTTTCTTTATTTCATTTTTTTGGATTAAACTTGGAGAGTAAAATTACTTAAGGAAGAATGGGAAGAGGAGGGGGGGGGGGGGGTAAGTCATCTATTCTTTGATAATAAATAATGACAAATAAATACATATAAAAAGAAAAATTCCTGACTAAAAAAACTAGAAGTTAGCAATATTCGCAGTTCCATCACCTAAAAATTGAATAGAAAAAAATTTATATATTTATAGTTTAAATTTTGGATAAATTTAAGGAAATCAAATATTGACCTAATAAGCAAAATTTCAAATACATAGATAATATTGATTTTGATAAAGCATACAAGGTAGGCAATCGGCAACCATAATGCTAATATAAGGTATATTTTAAATTAGAGATGTACCACTTAGTGGATCCGATAAATGATGGGTATAGGATCACATGCCTTCAGGCTTCCATACAATTTATTTGCAATTGAGATAATTTTTTTTATCTTTTATAATTTATTTATTTATTTTTTAGTGTGATTCTTTTATTTTCTATGTTTTATTTGTTTAGTATGTAAATAATATATAAAGTTTATAAAACTAAAAAGATAAAGCTATATAAAAAAAGGGAAAAAAATTTTGAACCTAAATAATTTTAAGAAAAACATAATTAATTGTGTTACTAAAAAGGAACAAGAGTTAAATTTAAAAATTTGTAGATTCTGCCAATAACAATTCCCTAGGTTCAAATGCTTGTAATTGCTAAATTTTTAAAACCCAAAGGTAATAGGTGCATCGTTGGTATGCAATTGATGAGAATAAAAAATTGCTAAGGTTTTATATTTGTTTATTTTTTAGTCTCTGCTAGAGTAATCAGGTTACATTTATATTTCTGGGGAAGGATGAGATACGTGTATAATCCCATATAATAGATGTGCCCATGGTCCAGGGCTAGTGGTCAAACTGCCAAGTCTTAAGCCGTCATCTGTTGAGAAAAGTTGCAAGGTTCTAGAATATTAGGTATACGAACTTTTTTAAAAGGAGGCTCAATGATTTATTTACCGAAGAGAGTCGATGATGAAGCCTTTACTTTTAATGCAATTAAAGTCATATCTTCCCATGGCATTTAATAGGAGGTTGCAGTCCATGAAATGACGAGACTGAACTAGGCCGAATTCGAGTCTATATCCTAAGGCCACTTTTAGTTATTCGTTGGCTAAGAGATTCACCAGGTTTTTAATAGGCTAGACTTCCATCCTTTCGTGGCCTCCGATTTTGTCTTAGTTTTGAAAAAGTTGAATGTCTTCAAGAGATGAAGAGGTAAATTCATAAAAGTTTTAGATATTAAGGGTGAAAAAATATTATTGTGGATCACTATTATAGGAAAGGTATATCAGGAGAGATGTTGTCATGCCACATTGTAAGAGCTAGATCTAGTAAGTTATCGTTGAAAGATATTAATAAATTAACAATTAAACGGGAAGACATGAAAGAGGAAAGGGACGGGGTAGGGGGGATATGAAAGAGGAAAGGGACGGGGTAGGGGGGATATGAAAGAGGAAAGGGACGGGGTAGGGGGGATATTAAGACGATGCCCCTATTTTTCCGTAATCGGGCTAATTTCTAGTTGTTATTAATCTATAAACTTATTGTTATTGTTTAAATTCTATTTAAGTTTTACTATATATTGTCAATAAAATAATTTTTAAGGAAACTAAATACAGATATATATGTCTTTTGTATCTTAACAGTAGTATTGTTAAACGGCTAGGGTTGACTTAATATTTTAGACAGAAAAATATTGCCTAAGCCTCGAGATTAGTTAATATATGTCTAAATCTTTGTTCCTTCTATGAGCAAAATTTTCAGGCCTTCCTAGTATTTTTCTGGATGAAATATAGAGTTAGCAATCGGCTCAAAACGAGCAGTTTAACAACACTATAGAGACATTTAAAAAATACTATTAAGACACATATTTTATTATAATCATGTAAAGTGTGTGCATAATGTCGAAAAAAATCATTAAATATACGATTGGGTAATTCCATGACAAATATCCAATCATTAGGACAACCATTTAAAAATGTATGAAACTTGGTATTAAGTTTAAATAGATTATATATTTTATATAAATCAAAATTTTAATGCTCTAGCTCAAATATATAGAGTTAAACGAATCTCAAAATACGTGCAGTAACAAATTTTTTATCATTTTGTAGCCTTTAAAATTCTCCTCAAGAAAATGCAGCAATAATTTTAGAAATATCTTGAGTGTCATTTTATTTCCGGTAAAATAAACCAAATTATATGAAAAGTGCCTCATTCAAAACGATGAAACTCATGAAATGTGTCTATCACGAAGATATTTAAATATTTAATTAAAAATATTAATGGAAAAAATATGAATTTAAATTTTATTTATTTTTTTTCTAATTTTAGGAATAAATAAATCTATTATAGAATGCGTTATTTTTAAAGATTAGAAATTTAAAATAAAAATTTGCATTTTGTATTATCAGAGACCTTAGAGTAGAGAAGGTCACGATCGGCGCTTTAGTCCGAACCGAACCGATTCTCAGACCAGACCATGGTCTTTTAAAAAGATCGATCCAGACCGTGGTCCATTGGCTTAGGGCCGGTCTTTTTATTATTTTAGTATTTCAAAAAAAAATTTGTTTTTATCTTAATTTGTTTATTGGAACTTGAAGTAAAATATTTCTTTGAAAAGTATGGATTTTTTAAAAAAATGAACTAAAAATTCACAAAAACAAAATAATTCCTCTAAAAAAATAACATAAAATAAAATATACAAAAAATTAAGCTAAAATAATAATATTAATTGAATATTAAAGCAAGCTTAAATATTAACAAAAGAGCGGTCTGGACCGCAAAAATATCGGTCATAACTGTGGTGCCCAATAGAACTAAACCGTTGATCTTCACTACCATAGAGGTACCATTTGCACGCCCGGGCCCGGCCGGAGTTTTATATTTTCTGGAAACGGAATTAAAATGTTTTTATAATTTTTATAGCTAATAATGACGATTTAAAATATTTGGTTTAAAAATATACGGCCAGGCCCGGGTATCTAAAAAAAATTTTCAGGTCCAGTTCGGCCCGGGTATATTTAAAAAATTAAAATATGGCCTGGCCCATGTACCCGGGTCCGGCTTAGGGCCCGAACTGCAGGTCTTTGGTATCATAAATAAAATTTAATATTTCTATAAAATCTATTTTATCAGTACCCCTAAAGTTTTTTTTAAAAAATACAATTTTTTGTACCCCAATATAAAGAAATAATTATTTTTAAAAATAACGTCCTCTATAATAAATTTTAAAGCTAAATAAAATTCAAATTCTTATTTTCATTAATATTTATACTAATATTTAAATATACTTATAATAAACATATTTGATGAATTTCATCGTTTTAAAAGTCTTTTACAGTTGATTTTTTACTACTAAATTATAAAAAACCAAATAAAATATAAATTCTTGTTTTCTCCATTATTTAAACGTATTGGTAATTAATAAACATATTTGCTGAGTTTCATCTTTTTAAATTTGGCCCTTCTCAAAATAATTTTTTTGTTTTACCGGAAATACAAAGACACTGAAGATATGCTAAAAATAATTTTTGCATTTCTTAAAGAGATTTTTGAAGACTACAAAATAAAATAATATACAATTTGTTATTTTAGACCAAATTTTTTTTAAGTAATTTGAGATTCGCTAAAAAGGCTCTCATCAAACTTTGATAGTCCATAACTGATTTATTAGAGCTAGAGAATTAAATTTTGATATGTATACAATCTATTTAAACTTCATGCTAAGTTTCATCCATTTTAAAATGGTCGTTCGAAAATCACGTTATTTCAGTCAATTTGTCATGGAATTACCCGGTTATTATAATTATTTATTTAAATAAAATAATTTCAATATAATTGTGTATTAAACCAAACATTTTTATGCAGTTTGAAAATATATAAAATATATTATTAAATATTGTTAGATTTTATTAGGGATGTACCGATATTTTTTATCGGATCTGATAGGGCCGATATTTCACCCATTTTAAAATATCAGTTATCGGGAAATAAATTCCGATCCTTTCCGATAAAAAATGGTGTTTTTAACAAAAATAAAATATTATAAAATTTTAAAAAATAGTTATATCTAAAAAACTTAATTTTTATAAATAAAATCGAAATCCATTTTTATGTCTATTTTTTTAATAATAATAATTAAATAATAAACATTCTGCCATATTGAAAAAATATATTAAAAATTAAAACTATTGGTATCTTTACAGAATACAAAATTAGATATGACATCGGATTGGTTATAGGCAGATATCAATTTAATATCTGTAATATGGGATCAGCCTTTAAAAAGTGGTATCGGTACACCCCTAGATTTTATTAATAAAACATTATCATAGCGATCCCCATTTAGACACATTTTTAGCAATACTAAAAAGCCTTGGTGTGCTGGAAGATAAGGTAATTAAATATTAGAACAATATTAAATTTAGTAAAATCACTACTCATTTATAATAATCATTCGAATATGGGTTTTTAATTTACATTCTTATGCATATCCTCTTGGGGGTGTTTAAAAATATAATATCAAATCTCTCATTTTCTCTTTAGTATTTTTTGAAATTTTTAATTTTATCAATTTTTGTCATTAGATTTTCTGACATTTAACAGTATTAATTTTTTCTACTATTTCTTCTTCATCATTATCACTAAAATTAATTTTATCCATAACTATGCTTCTAACTGTGAAATTAAACTTCTTTCTATATTTTATAAACTATCTTTTCAAATTATAAATCTAATTTTAAATATAAAAATAATCTAATTTAAATATTAAAAACCCAATTTTTTGACTTTTTTTAAAACAAATTAATGATTTTAAATATAACTTGATTTTTTGACATTTTTTAAAAAAAATAACATTAAAATATATCATGAGTTCAAGCCAAGTAGTTACAAAGGGTTTGGTTCATCAAAAAAGGATTTAACTAAATAGTTTCAATCTAAGGGAAATATTTAAATATTGAAGAAAATTGTATTTTCTGATGGAGAATTTCAGGGCTACAAAATGAAATGTTATTTGTGACTTCCAGCAATTTAGAGGATAGTTAAATAAAATAATGCTTATACTGGATTATGAAAGCCAGAATCTAAGTAAGCTAGAGTATTAAAATTTTTATTTTGGTAAAAATTTAAAATTTATTTTAAGATTAACCTTGGAATAAGTAACCTAGAGGTGGAAAATTTTCTTTAAATGATAGGGATCATAACAATATAATAATTTTAATTTAATATTATGGTTTTAAAGTTGAATGTTAACGATAAAACTGAAATTAGAAAATATATTTAATCAAGTAAATATTTATTTTAATGAAAACATTTCTTTTTCTAAAATAAAAATATTTTATTACATTTTGTCTAAACAGGGTAATGGTTCTTGAAGACTGTTGCTGTTGTCAACTATAAAATTGTAAGATTTAATATATATTTAATATAATAGATAAAGTTAATTATATCAATTTTTAAACTAATTCAACTTTATGTTTTTATATTAAATTTATTCAATCAATAACTTAAAAGTACTAATCAATATTTGTAAATTTAAAATTTTAACCTAAATTATCTAAATCATCCATTTCAGATTCATCATTGGATTCTTCCCCAATATGATTTAAGTAGTTAGCATCATTTGAACTATCAGTTGCTTCATCTTCTATCGAGTTATCACTTTCAGTATCACTTGAAAGGTTATTGGTTTCATTTGTTTGATTGTTATCTGAATCAGAATTATTTAGGTCTAAGTCTTCTGTACCAAATGATGAGGTGTCATCTTCTGATGATGTAGATATACTTGACCTATGGGATACATTTGAAAGAACTGAATTTAGAGAATTAATGTGTGAGTGATTGGAATTTAATATAGAGCTATTGTCATCTGAAGTGGAATCTGTGCTATCAATGTCATATGTGTTATCTGCATGAGTTTTAAATTATCAATATAAATTCTTCAAAAATAAAAGCATAAGAAGTGACATATTTAGATAATTAAATATGTTCTTAATTATTATTCAATTAAATACCCCATGGAGACTCATTGGGAGCAATACTTTATATAATTAAATATTATCTTAACTAATGCTAAGAGGAATTCCATTGACATTCAAATTCATAACAAAATTATTTTCTGAATTTTGATCTGAAATACTGGATTGAGATAGGCTATCATTATCTACAGATATTGTACCACTTTCACTCGTAGAATCATCCGCTTCACATACATGGTTAAGATAGTCATTCATATTTTGATCACTATCATCATTCTCACTAGTATAATTGCAAGAATAATCAATAGTTGTTATGTTTTTTATCTTCATTTCAAATTCGTATTTTGCAAATATTCCATAAAATTTATTTCATATTGGTTCGAAATATATGTAATTGAACTATATATAAGCCATTCGAGGCGTCAGTCAATCAAATCTTAAATTGGTAATCTCCCTCCGCCTTTATTTAATCGGGTATAGGCTTTTATCCATCTTCTTATTTCCCATAGGCGATAAGTAACTGAGGCCTACCCAAAAAACGTGGATGACCTTTCTTATAATTATTTCCCTTAATTTTCTGAGTTTGATGTATATTTTCAGAGAATCAAGCGTTGCTCGGTATTATATTCAACAAATAGGGCTAGGTGCTTAATATAACTTATCAGAAAAATTTATAAACAAAATATAAAATAAAAATCAATAGGCAGAGTTTTATAGCTGCGAAAGAATTTAAATCATATTTCCTACCATACTTTAGATTTTTCTTGATAACATCTATGATGTGTAATATTATTTTTCTAACATATAAGTGTAATTTTAATTATTATACTATTTATAAGAAAATGGAGCATTATAAAAAGATTATTATTAGAGTGTCGTCCTATCTCGTCCTTCGACCGGTGTAGCGTGATTAATTAACTCCCCTTATCACATACCTCTGAGTTAAGTAATAACTATGATAGATTAACTCCCCCTTTGATAAATAGTGTTAAGGAGGGAGTTAATTAGTAACAAAGATATTAATTACAATGTAAATTGATAGGGAGAGTTATATGATCATGCAGTCTTTTTTAATATTGCTGAAATTCTTGTAAATTTGATTTTCGAATTTAAATTTTGAATCGAATTTTAATTTTTTTTTATCTACTTGGTGAAATTAGACATTCTTTTTAAAAAGTAACTTGTTCACGTAAAAAGTAAAATATTTTATTATTTTAATATAAAAATATTAAATAGTGAATCACGATGTTATCAATGATATTTATAATTACCTAAAATTCAAAACCTACCCAAATTCCTGTGTCGGCGATCATGGCTTAAGAAGAAACCTTAGAGTCAAATGTGCCAAGTTTTTCTTAGAGAATGACAAATTATACCATAACTATCATAATGGTCAAGTTATCTCACTCTATAGCGAAAAACAAAAACTTCTACTATCATTCCATGGAGGATGTGAGACAAATCTCACAGAAATGTCATTATCAGGTCACTTTTGGAATCAACAAGACTTATGATAAACTAGTTGAAAGGTATATTTACTACTCAATTTAAAATTCTCTTTCAATTAACAGATTATTGTTTTAAAATATTGCTTAAATTTAGCCTGATATCACCCAAAAAGCTTGTCACACTTTTAAAATGTACTTTAACATAATCAGGTATATATTGCTCTTATAAGCTAGGAAACAGTACTCAATTTAAAAATCTCTTTCAATTAATAGAATATTGTTTTAAAATATTGCTTAAATTTAGCCTGATATCACCCAAAAAGCTTGTCACACTTTTAAAATGTACTTTAACATAATCAGGTATATATTGCTCTTATAAGCTAGGATACAGTACTCAATTTAAAATTCTCTTTCAATTAATAGAATATTGTTTTAAAATATTGTTTAAATTTAGCCTGATATCACCCAAAAAGCTTGTCACACTTTTAAAATGTACTTTAACATAATCAGGTATATATTGCTCTTATAAGCTAGGATACAGTACTCAATTTAAAATTCTCTTTCAATTAATAGAATATTGTTTTAAAATATTGCTTAAATTTAGCCTGATATCACCTAAAAAGCTTGTCACACTTTTAAAATGTACTTTAACATAATCAGGTATATATTGCTCTTATAAGCTAGGATACAGTACTCAATTTAAAATTCTCTTTCAATTAATAGAATATTGTTTTAAAATATTGCATATTGAACAAATAATTAAGTTTGTAGGCTTCTTAAAACTATAGTTGGAGAAGGAGAAGGTAAACAAATGCATTTGGGAAAAAGGAAAATATATTTTTAATTATTATATTTTCATTAGAAGAAGCATTATTTGAAGAAATGTCCTGTGGAATAAAAGTTTCAGGAGAAAGTTTTATTTTTTAAAAATTGGAAAAATTATATTTTTGATAAATCTAAAATTCTAGGGTTGGAATTTAAAAAGGAGGATACTAAAATAAAACGTGTCAAGAGAAAGGGTATGATATATAAAATTATTTAATATATTTTTTTGGATATAGATACTTTTGGTGAAGATCCAATAATAGCTATTAAAAGTATAGTGAGAGAGGAAGGATATATAGGTGTACAAGATCAGGGTAGTTATATTTTTTAAAAATATGTTATTATTTAATTATCAAATTTAGATGACCAAATTATTGTGGAAGCAATAATACCAAAGAAAATTGGTGAACTTTTTCTGCCCACAACAAGGAACTGGAAGGTATATCACTCTAAACGGTTCAATTTCAAAGTAATTGGACGTTATCCCAAGATAAAATGTGGTATATTAAAAGAGATTTTCACAACCGATCATATTGTGGGTGATGGGAACTGTTTTTTTAGGTTATAATCTATATATAATATTTAAATTATTTACCATGTTTATAGGTGTATAAGTCAAGAGATATCAAATAGCCAGGAAAATTATAATTACCTTAGGGAGGAATGCATTCTTTTTATGAGGAGCGAAGATTTCAAATTGGAAATGGGAAAATTTATAGGATATCCTGTAGAGAAATACCTAGTTAACAGAAATGTTATGGGAAACGGTGTCTGGGCAACAGAGGTAGAAATATTATCTATGGCCACATTGTTACAGACAAATATATTAATCTATACCCAATATAAATGGGCTTATTATTCGCCCATGAAATTTTTTAATAATATTAAAATATTTAAAGAAAATATTTATTTATGCAATATAAATAACAATCATTTTGTTAGAATTATATCAATGTGATTATCTGTTCTAATATTTTTATTCCATTATATTTATTGCAATTTAGTTGAAAGATGATAATCGGTAAGTATCTTTTTGTTAAATGTTATTGTACTCATATTTTTATTAATAGTATATTTTATAAAAAGTACAATAGTTTGACATCCTTTTTTTAAGTTTAAATTATATTTATTGCATTTTATATTTTTTTATATTAATTCCAATTTAGTTGAAAGATGATAATTGGTAAGTATCTTTTTGTTAAATGTCATTGTATTCTATATTTTTATTAATAGTTTTTTTTATAGTACAATAGTTTGACATCCTTTTTATAAGTTGAAATCTATTCAATTGCAAATTTAAATTATATTTATTGCATTTTATATTTTTTTTAATACTTCATCTTTTTCTTAAATGTTATTCAATTACGAATTTATACAATATATTTATTGCATTATATTTTTTATTAATAGTTTTTTTTTTATAAAAAACAATAGTTAACCATCTTTTTGATGAGTTAAGTCCTATTCAATTGCTAATTTATATTATATAGCTTTTTATATTTTTTATTAATAGATATTTTTATAAAAAGTACGATATTGAATCATTTGATGAATGATATGTAATTTATGTTTAAATATGAATAAATTAACCTACCATGTGTATATAGATTTCAATCAAACTTTTTTAAAATTAAGCTATGACGTTTTCGACGTTAAATTATTTATAGGTATATCAGAAATTAAAATATTATCTATCTCATAAATTTTAATATTAGAAAATTTTAATTATTTATCACTCATAAGAGTCAATATGCTAAACATATAAACTTTAAGCAACACCAGTCAGTCATAAGTGTTAATATTGCAATATAAAGTCATAAATGTCAGTATAACTAAATAATAGAATCTTTTTAACATTACATGTTAGTCATTAATGTCAATATCATTAAATAATAGAAATTTTCAACATTATGTGTTAGTCATAAATGTCAGTATTACTAATGTCAGTATTATTAAATAATAAAAACTTTTAACATATCATGTCAGTCATAAATGTCAGTATTACTAAATAATAGAAACTTTTAACATATCATGTCAGTCATAAATGTCAGTATTACTAATGTCAGTATTACTAAATAATAGAAACTTTTAACATATCATGTCAGTCATAAATGTCAGTATTACTAAATAATAGAAACTTTTAACATATCATGTCAGTCATAAATGTCAGTATTACTAAATAATAGAAACTTTTAACATATCATGTCAGTCATAAATGTCAGTATTACTAAATAATAGAAACTTTTAACATATCATGTCAGTCATAAATGTCAGTATTACTAAATAATAGAAACTTTTAACATATCTTGTCAGTCATAAATGTCAGTATTACTAAATAATAGAAACTTTTAACATATCATGTCAGTCATAAATGTCAGATTACTAAATAATAAAAACTTCTAACATTACATGTCAGTCATAAATGTCAGTATTATTAAATTATATAATGATATTTTAATAAAATATTATTATCACGTCAATCATAAATGTCAGTATTACTAAAGGGAGTTAATTTAAATTAAGTTAAAATATCACACTAAATTTTATAATGTTATTTTATTATTACGTCAATCATAAATGTCAGTATTACTAAAGGGAGTTAATTTAAATTTAAGTTAAAATATCACGTTACACAGGGTGTGTAACCTGGGAATTACAAATGGCGCGGAATTAGAAATGACTATGAATCACAAGCAGTGGTGATGGATCACAAATCATAAGACATCAAAGTTTTAATAAAAAGAAAAATATAATGGTAAATTAAAAAATATATTATTAATATATGGCCATAAAATAAATGTATTTATTAATAACAGGAACAATGAGAATTAAAAATTACACAAATATTTATTAACAATGTTCAGAATAATGAGTATATCTCAAATCTGGACAAATATTGTTCGGGGAACCAATTGGGCGAGCTTTCTATAGAGTAGATTCTTTAAGAATAGATATATAACAGTGGCGTAGCTATAGAGGGGGTTTTAACCCCCCCCCCCCCTCCCAGAGAATTTTTTTTAAAGATTATATGAACAAAAGACTCAAAGTGATTTTATATCAAATAAATACCATGAATATTTATATTTTT